CATTTCATTCTTTCCTCGCTGTTTGAACAGAGAGCGAAAGCTTTAAGTATGTCTTTTATGTCTATTTAAGCTCTTTACACTCTATGTCTTTTTTTATTTTATTTTTATTTTTTACTACTTTATGTCCCTTTTTTTCTTATTTTTTTTTTACTACTTTATATCCCTCTTTTTCTTATTTTTTTTTACCACTTTATGTCCCTCTTTTTTTATTTATTTTACTGCTTTATGCTTTTCTTTTTTTATTACTTTGTATTTCATTATATCTTACTTCTTATTATGTGTTCTATTTCTCTATCAACTAATTATGCCTAATAAAAATATCCATGTTTTATGCCAAAAAAATACGACGTTTACAAAAAAAAATACTACGGTTATATAAAAAAAATTCGACGTTTACAAAAAAAAATACGACGTTTACAAAAAAAAAGTACGACGTTTACAAAAAAAATACTACAGTTATATACAAAAAATTGTAAGGCGTAAGAATAAAAAATTTGAGTGCCATGTACCCTTCCGCCAATAGTAAAAGGGAGGGGGCAAATTCAGATGGCAATAGGAGCAAATTCAGTTGGTAATGAATGCAAATTCAATTTCTATGGAAGCCAATCAGATGTCAATGGGTTCTAATTAGATGGAAACAGATGCTAATTAGATGGAAATGGGCGCCAATTAAATAGATAAAACCAGTATTGAAATAAACTTAGACGAACAGGGTTTTCCTTCTTTTCATAGTATGGTTATTGCTTCTTAAACTGTCCCAATGAGGACAACCAGTCTACCTCGTATATATATAAATTCTCAGAACTAATATTATTTCATTTAAAAAATGTAAAGACATGTAGACTATATAAAAATACTATCATTAAAGCAGACAAAATTGATCTTCTAATTACTTCTTTAAAATAGTTCGATAATAAAATATTAAAGAAAGAAAAGAACAAAAATAATACTGAAATATCTGTTTAATAACAGATGTCAAATGCCAAAAAGTGGGATCTATCTAATAGATATAAAAGCTAATACTTCTGTTTTTTTAATGCATTTAAAATGATTAAATTTTATTTTCTTTATTCATGAAGATATATTATTTTCTTTTGACATAACAGCATGTTGTGTCTAGATCCACCTTGAATTTCTGTCTATATTCTGGGATCTATCTACTATATCAGACTCTTCTAAATATTCTGTCTTCTTCAGGCATTCAACTTCAGCTTTCTCTCTATCTTTCCATTAACACTTGGCTTCCTGAGATCACTTGTTGGCATCTTGACACATCAGAAAATTGTTCAGAACAATACAAACCCAAATACATGCATTAATCTTTACAACATCTTTCTTTTTTTTTAACCTTACAGGGATTGATTTGAGGGAGTAGAATCTCTTTTTCAAGATTCCAAATGCATGCTCAATTTTTACTTGCATACTCGAGATCTTTGTATTGAACCCTTTATTTGCTAACAAGAGTTCACTGTTCCCTGGCTTCTTTTTTATTGGAACAATATAGTTTGTAGTCTTGTATTCCGCATATGCCAACACGTACTTGTCACCAGAAAAGAATCACTTCAGGAATTTTCTAAACTCACACTTAGACAAAGTATGCATATCATGCAAACTTTCAAAGAAACATGTTGACATGTATCGATTATGTGTCTATGATCATACACTGTGACACTGTTTACACAGTAAGTGGATCTGCGACCAAAAGACTGCTCTGGTTTTCACAATGATACTTTTGCCAGCTTAAATAAGCATTCATCAAAAAATTCAACAATGTTTTGAAATTCTAATGGATATTCATTTGCTTGTTTTATCTCTGCTTTCTCAGATTTGGTTGATCAGTAAACAAACTTGTGCTCCAAAGAGAGAATTACTTTGAAGAACCTGATTGTTATATTCTTGATAGAGTCCTCTATTTGTTTTTATTGTAGAAAACAGATAAATAAATTTGCTTTTGTATATGTAGATAAACATTTGTAAACTATTATTTTGAATCACCTACTTTCTATTCCAGAACGTCATACAAAATGGCCACTTGACAAAGAATTACTATTTTATTCTAATTGGTCAAGAACAATAGAAATCTGAGTCTAATATCAATTGAGTAAAATCCTGACAATTGTTAGTAAAGCTCATAGTTTTTTACAAAATCATACAGCTTATAAAAAGAGCTCTTGCTCATTCAAAACTCTTCCAGAAAGCCCCTTTCATCCAAGGCAAGCAGAAAATCTAATCTTTCTTTTTGAGTCACAAGTTTCTTTGTCTTGTTTTGCCCTTTGAAAAAATAGCATCCTTTGCTGATTTTGTCTTGGGCCTTTCTAATCATCAATTTTTTCTGTTGTAGCTTTAATTTCCATATGCTTGCAAAATATTTGTATATGTCATAATTTTTCTCAAAAGCAAATAATTTAGAGTTGGACAACATCTTGATTATCTTCTTCAATGTGTGTTGAGTGATAGCTGCAGATGCATTCTAAGTTAATTTTGCAAGTATATTTATTAGAGTATGCAGCATTTTTTAAGATAATAAGTAAAAGAGTAATGTACTTCTCACTTTTATATATGCCAGTAATTAATTTTAACAAGTATATATACTTTTAATCATTATTTGCTATCTAAGTGTAATGCAACTACAAGAGATGCATGATATTATCATGCAAGTAGTATTGGACAAAAACTAGTTACTCATAGCAGTTAATTAATTTTTCCCTTTTTGTAAACCTTCAAAAAAAAGGCTGTTGTAAATAAGAAAAAGTTGAAAGGAAATAATATAAGATCTCAGCTATTCCAGTCAAAGACGTCTACCAATTACTTTATTATTTAACACACAGGTTTATCATGCACAATAGTAATTATATTATATATAATGATATCATTATAATATGGGATATATCAATGAATTACTGTAAGCATAATTATAACTCATAAACACTTTTACTTTCTATATTAATACTTTATTGGGACTACACACATTTATATAATTAATCATACATTAATCATTCTAATAGCATGTTGCTTTGATTAAGGCTCAGATAAGATTGATTATCTGAATCCAGTCATATGATTTTTCTGATCCAAAATAATATAAATATCAGTAGTAGTTTAGTGTAGGAACCTAGTTAAATTTGGATATCAAATCTTTTTGTAATAAACAAGCCTTACACAAGTTCTTACCAATTTTTGTTCCTTACCTTCAAATCTTCAGTTCTTTTTAACAGCTTCTTTTAAACTTTCAAGCACCACAACAAGGGCAAAAAAAGAGCAAAATTAATTAAAACTATTATCTACTAAAATGGTCTAAAGTTTTGCCCTTTTTTTGCTCTTTTTTGAACTTTTAATCTGTTCAGACCAGATATACATTTCAGTGATTTCTGCAAATCAATATATACTTAATTTATACTTGCATTGAAAATACTAGAAACAAATGGATTGAGCAAAAAGACAATGAAAATGTTAAATGTAGCATTTATTCTGATTTTCTTTTACTGTGAAAAGGATCAGAGAAATTAATTCAAGTAAATTAGACAATAAAATAATTAATTTACATACCCAAAGCAAAACAATTTATATGTAAACATCGATAATACTTGTCAAGAGTTGATATAGTCTCTAGTAGAGTATTGTATTACATTAGTATACAGTATAAATAATCTTGCAGTACATATAAAAAGAATAAAAGAAAAAGAAGACTTACCATGTCAATAACGGTAGCATGAGATGATAGTTTATGATGTAGAGCATGTTTGAGAGAGGGTTGTTCATCTATAATAAAAGTCATTTTTTTTAGATAAATATAAAAAAGAAATAAAAATAAAGTAAAATAAAATAAAATATTACCATTTTGATAGTCATGTTTAATTGTATAGAGTATTTTTTTGCAATACAGCCTATAAGAAAGAAAGAAAAAAGTTAGAATAATTTTATAGGATGATGACATAAAGTATATTTACTAACCTTGACTAATCCAGATAGCCATTGTAAAGAGAATGTATCAGAAGAAGTTAAAACATCAGTGTCTATGACAACAGAAACAATTCTTATTTTTTAGTTATATGTATATATATAGTATTTTAAAGAGATTGTCTTATCAAAGAAAAATGGAGAGATATAAAAGTGCAAAAGAGACAGAGTAAGTGTGTGCTTGTCTATAGCAGTGAAATAAATTAATTATTTTTTTGTTTGTAAGGAAGTATTTCATTTTGCAAAGAAAATATGTCTTACCAGAAAAATACATAAATATAATGAAAGTTAAAAAGAGAGAGAGAAAAGGAAAACAAGAAAAATGAAACAAAAGAAAAATCAGAAAAAAAAAGAATAAAAACAACAAAAGAATAAAACAGGAAATAGAAAGTGTTGTGACCAAAGATAAAGTAGCACTTAGACTTATATAATCACAAGGTCTCTAACATTGCTATTGTTTGTATCTATTCTATTGTTTGTATCTGAATTCTTATTTCAATCCTTTTCCCTGGTTTCCATTACGTCTCTGTTGATGATACATGTTTGAGTGTGTTCTCTCTATCTAGTCAAAGAGTATAAATACTCGTTGTGTCTTCTATCAATAAAAAGCATCTTTCTTAAGCTCAAACTTCTGTCTCATTGTCTAGTTGCCTAAACTAGTCTCCGAATTCAAACCCAATTACCCATAGTCATTACAGAAGGACAAGATAAAAAAAGAAGTGTGTGTTTGAAAAAAAAGGATTAAAAACCAATTGAGTCCAAAAAGATAATATAATGATGGATTGTCATCTCAAAGTTACAAGAGGATATTCTGGATATATTTACAGTTCCATTTAGTATACTTATATAAAGAAGTTGTTTGGAATATCACAACACTTCTTGCTTACAAAAACACACTTTCTCTCTCCCTTTTACTTATTCACTTTCTCACATACATATCTGCTTGTACATAAGAAATAAATCATTAATTTGAAATCAAATATTATGAATTAAAAGTTAAAGATTAAATAACAGAAAATATACTTTATTTAATATTATAGATTATGACTGAAATATGCCAAATTGCTTCTAATTCATCTGATAAATACAAAAAGCTTTTAGCTAAGATAAAAGAAATGGAAAAATTCATGATTAATGTACGTGGTAAACTCATTACGATGCAAAAAGTCATTTGTGCTGGCTTTGGACAAGGAAATGAATATCTAACATACGCTTCTGTTTCTCTTGATAATTTCTCTGTTGCTGTCAGTTCTATTATCAGAATTCCTCCTGGCATCGCTTCTGAAATCAGCTGTAAAAACAAGAACAAAGTCCTTGTAAGTATTACTATATCCAATATTCCAACTATTAACTATTTTTGTTAAATAGAAGTTGATTCTGATGCGTGTTGAGTTTGTTGCGTGTGCAACTTCATCAGAAAATAAGAGAAAAATATATTGAACATGAATTACAAATGTAATTCTGGAGTACGAGTTCTGGTAGGAAAAAGAATAATAAAAAGAAAGATGAATATGGAAGGGATACAGAGTATTTAGAAGGGCGATTGAATATTCAACTTTACTTGGGACAGTTGAGGATAAAAAAGAAATAAAAGTGTTAAGATATAAGGTGAAAGGAGGTATAGAAACACTGTTGATTTTGCTTGGGACAATCCAAAGAGGTAAAACAGCAAGGTACAAGAAGATAAGGTAGAAGAAGAAAATAAAAATACTGCTGATTTCACATGGGACAATCAAGACAGATAGACAGCAAGATACAAGAAGATAAGTTTAGAAGAGAATTTAAGAGAACACTGTTGATTTCACTTAGGACAATCACACAGATACAAAGGAGCAGAAAGAGAAAAAAGAGGAAGAGAATTTTGAACAAAGATATAAGACTTTTAATGTGATATATGACTGCTTTCCTATGAGTCAGGCAGAAAACAATTTAGAGACAGTGATTTTAAGAGAGAGATAACTGATGATGTTTATTGTTGTAGAAATAGGTCTCTTATATACCTTTAAAAGATGAAAATAAAATGAAATAAAAATATGAAAAATGAGATGTTTTTTAGAGATTACAGATGTGACTTATAGCACAAGAAGATATAATATGTAAAGACAGATAGATGTTAATGTCATAATAGAAAGAGTGGGATAATATTTGTGCTTTTGGTAAAATGTAGGGGTAAGATATTAGAATATAATAGTAATAGTAATAAAAAGATAATAAAAATGGGATATAAGATGAGAAATGAATAGCAGTAATAGAAGAAAATAAATAGTGTAAGAAAAAGAGAACTGAGAGTATAAGCAAATAAAATAATGCAAGAGATATAAGTATATTCAAAAGATATGAGATGTCTATATACAAGAATGTGGGGAAAAACTAGAAAAGGAAAAGGAAAGATGTATATATAAAAAATGCTAAAAGAAGAATAAATGCAGGAAAGTAGAAGTGATAATAAAAGTAAAAATATATATGTATATGAAAATGTGACATTGAAGGGATGTGTTAATATTTAGAGTGGTAATGTAGATGATGATGAGAAAAAATGAAAGAGGAAATGATTGGAGAAAAAGAGAGATGAATTAGAGTGGGCAAAGCTGAAGAACACACAACACCGTGTCAATTCGAGGTTATATGCGGAGGGACAAATTTACTTTCAATGATCCTGCTCTTGTCAGCACCAACGAGGCAAAGCCAAGGTGGGAAACAGATGTCTTTTTTAATAGTAGCCCCAACAAGAAAATTGTTGCCAATCTTCTTGGTTAACTGCTTTCAAAGTTTGTTAGACAGGGTATAAAAACAAGCAAACTCTGTACTATAGTGCACACAAACTTTCAGAGCACAACTTGTAAAGACAGAGAAAATTCTAGGATGCAAGCTGTCACTAACGCTCCTAGAAGACAAGCTGCAAGAGAAACTGAAGTGAGTGTTACTTTATATTTCATCCCAAATTCAACCATATAATTAATATTAATATATAAAAAAAATTACAGCACTTCGACCACTGCATAATAGCATATGTGCTAAACAAAGATGTCATTGATGCTTTAATAAAGAGAAACTGTTCTAGACTGATGATAAAATCAGCAATTTCTGAAGGCGAGTCAGAGGATGAGTTTCCTGAAAGACCTTGCAAGCGCATTCTAAAGGTTACCTGTTCTTTTTAGAGAAGTGATGAAATAAATAATTTTGCAAGAAATAATTTTTTATATTTGAATAATATTTAACGTGATATATATAAATATGTTTTTAGTTTAACAACATCATCTTTAACATTGATGAGATTGTGAGAGCAAACTTGGGTAACAGCATTTGCCAGTTGTTAGACAGAAATCTCATCAGCCTATCTGAGAAACCAGTTCCTGATGACGTTTGTTATGTTTCCCTCCATGGACCCTTAGAGATGGGCCACAATAAAAATAATAAAAATTATTGTTTATCTCATCTTATTTATTCTCATCTTCACAAACTCAATGCTGATGATTTATATAGAGATATTAATTATTTTTCTCTGTCTTTTTTTGTTATCGCCATTTACTTTTCTTTTTATTTTTAAAAAAAGAAAGAAAGAAAAGAAAGAATAATTATTATTGTTTTTTTTAAGTATAAAGTTTTTTTGGTAAGGCAATTACCAGTTTTTTTTTGACAAGTCCTGTTGTATGATTAGCAATTGCTACTTCTAAAAAAATTCTATATATAGATAAAATTAAATGATAGTTTGATGGCAAAGGTGTTGAACCACAAATTTCAACTCCATCTTTCTCTTGTGATTTATCTCCAAGTAAAGGAAGCCAGTTGACAAATGCAAATACATGTTGATTATGATGAGTGGAATCGGCTTCATAGTAGGGCAACATTGGAGGAGGAGTAAATTAATGAATAAAGATATACTTGATTTGATAAGTGAAGATTGGTTCTATACTTCTATCACTGCCAAGAAACAATGATTGGACATATGATCTGCGGCCAGTGGTGCCATTATTGCCATAGTACACTTGGCCAAGAATATTGATTGATTTCAACTTTATAATCTGATTGTTAACAAAGAATGGAGAGGTAGCAGCATTTTTATAATGGACAACATTAGGAGTGAGATATGCGAGTTTGTAGTATTCCAACGAATGGGGATAATCAATATCACCCATTGAAAAAGATTTACTAACTGAAAGTGAGAAGAATGTAGGTGAGAGAGATTCATTGTCTAAGATAGAAATTCTGATAGTTTCAGAAGAATCCACATATGCTTGCAAAATGAATGGTGACTGAATAATTGTGAAGGAGGCAGATAGTAAGGTAAAGACAGATGTAGATAAACAGATAAGTTTGGAAAGGACAGAAAGAAAGAGAGCTTGAGTAAGACATGTAAGAACAGAATTAACAAAATTACTTTTGTATATATCTTCAACAAAGCATCTCATAAACGTGGCTTCAAAACCGTTCTTGCCATTTATGCTGATATTTTTGAGTTGGTCATTGTATCTCTCAAATGCAAAGAACTGTGAAGTTTAATAAAATAAAATCAACAGTAAAAAGATTGAGACGTATATAAGAATACTTTGAGACTGTATATAGGTTGTCTTTATTAAAGAATAAAAAGTTGTTCTTTTTATATCAAAACACAATCTGCTTTGTCAGTCACATCTTAATCTCTTAAGTCTGAGTTCATTTAGATATTAGAGAGCTGGTACTGCCATGTTTATAATTTAATCTAATTGCAGTGTCCTCATATTAACTCAGTGCTTACTGAGCTGTCATAATTACAGTACTTACTGTAATTAATTATTGGTCTTATTGATTTACCATAAGTAAAATAAATAAATTATTCATTTGTTCTTGTAATGATAGCTGTTTTACCATAATAATAGGAATATGTTCTTAGATGTAATAAATCCAACAACCAAGTGTCTGGATCACCACAAGAACCAAAAACTATATGCTGATTCAAAATCAAGAATAGCTTTACAAAGATGAAGATATTAATACATATTACAGATAAGAATCTTAGTGATATAAATCTCATTACATTTTTCACAAAACTTTTTGAGATATCTATAGGCAGTATTAATAGCATCAAATATAATGCTGGGCTCTACAAGATGATGGCATGCATGAACAAAATTAATCCAGTTATTGAAATGCAAGAATGAGAGTACTGACTTCAACATCACAGGAGAATACATCAATACTTACGACTTTTACTCATCTGCTTTCATAAATGCAATTTTTGCCAATTTTGCTTTTCAATACAGTATATTCTCTTAGCATAATCATCTTATCAGCTAAATTTTACATAGCAGTAAAATGTCTGTCTCCAATAACATCACATTCAATCCACTGATCCATCATTCTTTTTGCTGTCCCCAAGAACAGATTATGCATGGGATCAATGATTGTTCCACATACTAGATCAAAGTATCCAAGGCAGTACAACTGCAATCATTGAACAACATTTTTAATTTACATATGCTGTCTTTCTGAGATGTTAACTGCGTTCTTCCACTCCTCAGCATGCAGTCTATTCTTCTCAAAGTTATGATGACATCACTCAGACTCTTTAAATCCATAGAAATCAACCTTTTTTGTGCTGTCAAGGTGAGTGAAATGATGGTTGCACTTAAAGCATGCACATGTGCTATCATGTGCAGTAAATCCACTGGTCTTTCTGGCAGCTGGGATATTACAGGCAACTATCATCAATGCAGCACAAATCACTTGATCAGTAGGAGACACAAATGTTGGGATTCTTACTCCACAATACAGCTGTATCAACTCATCTACAATTAGTTCAAGATAGTTTTTTATCTTGTCAGTTTTAGATTTCTTGGGAGCAGATATAAATTTTATAAGGATTAAGTTCTCAGCTTTAAGCTGGTTACTGCAAGGCAAGTTGTTAATGACTAAGTAGGTTGTACCACAAGAGTATGTAACTTTATCAAATGGTCAGAACCAGTCAATATTGAGTGTCAGTATCAGCAAACAAGACTGCTCAACAAATTAAACATTGTTATTATCCTTACGCTCTTTTCAAACCGCATCATTATATATATCGCACATTGTGTCTGCTAAATTTGGGTCTGTACTCCATTTATATACCTTTTTTTTTAAGACTAGATGATTAAAAAAAAAAATTTGAATACATTTTTGATAGACTGATAATGAAACTATACTTGGGAACCAAAGAATCAGACAAAGATTTCTTTATCAATTCACAGTTACAAGCTGTACAAGCATCTGTCTTTAAAAAGACACAGTGAGAAGGAGCAGATTGATTTTCTTCATAAATTGCATAGCAATTATTGCAGTGCACAAATTGTCTTATGCCCTTGGAGAGCTCACAAAATTCAGTCATATACTGAAGACCAGGCAGACTTGTGGGAAGCTGGAAGCCCTGCTTATAAATCTTCAAGAGTTTATTGATGAACTCAATAAAGATAACCATGCCCTTGTTGACCACGTAGTAATGCAAATAGCACAGTGAATGTTGCAATAAATCTGTGCATAGAATTCTCAGACATACTGCTGTTTGAAAACATGTCTATTTAAAAATATAAAAAAAAATATTAATTTTCTTCACTTTTTTTTAGATTTTTTTTGACTGTCATACAAACATTTAGTATCAACTTCTTCAACAGCAATACCAACAGTATCTTCAGCATTCTCATTGCTCTCATACTCAAAGTCTATGTTATTGAAATTAACATTGACTTCATTGTTAACTGACATAGAAGAAATATCCAAAATAAGTAAGTCAGACTGACATGCAAGTACTTCCATAGATTTAGATTCTTGGACTACAATAGCTATAAATATAGAATATAATAAGAAAGTTGTTTTTTTGATACCTAAATAAAAATGTCTTACATTTCCCATCAATGTTTCTTATATGTCTTTGCGCACTTGTGTTTAATATAAAAGCTTATAGTATATAAAAACACAACTTTTATATTGTAAATAACATATCAAGTTCGCATCTGATAGCATCTTTTAAAGCTGCTTTCTTATCATGATGCTGGGCAGTTCTCTTTGACACTAAGATGTATCTATTATAATTTTTAATGCACTTGATACAATAGTACTCTTCAAAGCTTTATTTAATAGTAGAAGATATAATGTCTTTCATTTTTTAAAAATGAAACAAAGGGGAAACCAATGTCATATTTATCTATTCACAAAGACATTGTAGTAATAAATAAAATAATTTTTGTTGCTTGTTATATCCAAGCCAATAGAGTGTGGTTAAAGTAGGTTTTTTTATTTGAACTTAAAAAGTGGTACTAAGATGAAAAATACTTTATATATACACTATCACTGAATAATTTCATCACTAGTGTATTCAGAGATGTTTTTCCAGTGTCTGTCATATCTCTTCTTCTGTTTCTTCTGCTGAGCTGCAGTTCTCTCTTGTGCCAGCAGACGGTACTACTCAATCAGTCTATGTATGATTTGGGCTTAGCTTCTCAAAACTTTCTGCAGATCTATCTCCTGAAAGTCCCAGGTGGAATCTGACCACAGTCATGACATTCTCATTTTATAATTATACAAGAACATAGAAAGACTATAATGGGTCACTTTATTGGATATAGTTCAGATTGCTCATGCAATGGTAATCAAGTGTCAGCCCCAGCTGTCTTGTGGGCCATGGTCTTGAACCAGTTTTGATAAGATCTATACTATAATTGGGTTCATTTTCTTACACAATTCATTTACCTGTGGTTGATATGCTACTGTTATCAAATGCTGACACGCTATGAGTTACAGGAAATTAGCTACATGTACTGACAAGAAATTAGACCTTCACTTGGTCAACAAGTATTTAGGCACATCAAAATCTTTGACTAAGTATTGAAATAAGAAGTCTGTGGTTATCTTTTTATTGATTTCAAGAATGGCAGCCATCACCAGCCAATGGGTCAGATAGTCAACTGCTACTAAAATATATTGGTTTTCTTTCTTAGACTGAGTTACAGGGCCAATAGTATCACATCCTACTGTATAAAACAGATATGTGAGCTTCTTTCTGCTTGACACAAACTCTCACTTAACACGTCTCACAGGTCTTCACTACTTTCTTGACTTTGTTGAGAAGTTAGTACCTCTCAAATTGCAAACATACCTTTCTTCAGCTGTTGTTAATATGTCAGTGCCCCTTCTTATAGACCTTGATCACCATGTTAAGCACGTTCTAGGCATGCAATACCTTGGGGTCTGACTTCCCTTTCAAACTCTTAACATGTCGTTGGTCTTTTATGACAACATAATTAAGACTGCTGTCACACAGTTTCTGTTTGCTTGTTGCAGAACAGTTCTTTGAATACTCTCTATAAGACAGATAAGAGTTGATCTGTTGATATATGAATAGTTACATTTTAGTACTGACAATAGTTGTGTCTTGGTTTGAACTCCTTCTAATTTGATATTATTTTTGTTGTTGTTTAGATTATGAGTGATACAATTGATGTAGCTGTTGCTTTTGCTCAGAGTAATTATATTGGAAAAGGTAGCTCATTCTTCTCAGAATATTTAAATTATAATAAATGTTGTTTGCATTGAAGTGTTGAGAGATTTTAATTGAATTGTCATACATAAGAGAGTACATTATATTAAATGATAGTGCATCCCTCTACTCTTCAATCTGCTACTCTCTTTTATATTTTCATCCTTCTTTGATGTACTCTAAATTTGTGTGTCATCCTGTCTAACTGCATATCAAACAGTTCAACAATTTATATAAATTATTTGCAACTCTTTTGCACTGAGTCACTCCTGCCTCTCGCACACTAGTTTCTCAATATTGGTCTAACTACACTCTCTAAACTGAAATCACTAACAAAACTTTTGATTTCTGTCTCCAAATAAATCATATATCAGCTTCATTATATTATATCTTCTTAAAAAGTTGATAAAATAGAGCCAAACATTATGCTGTTATAGAGAAATATATATATATATTATAGAATAAAAATAATAAAATAAAGTGTAATATATGATGTGATCACCACAAGTTTTTATGACTGGTTTAATTTTGTTAGACATACTTCCCACAAGAGTTTGTAGACCTCCTGAGTAAAGCAACTTGCATTCTTGAAGAATACAGACCTTCAGCTTTTGCATATTGCTAATAGAAATCATTCTCTTTTGAATCTTAGCCTTTAGAGCAGACTAAGAATGCTCAATTGAATTCAAATCTGAACTTTGCAACAGCCAGTAGTCAAATTGTTTAATCTCTTAATAGTTTTTCTACCATATTATATAGAATCCAATATGACAGCTAGCACTATCTTTTTGAAATATAAACATAGTATCATGTTTCTCATTTACTTGTGTGTGACAGAGATTAAAGTCCTTTGACAGACAATTGATATATGCATTCTTATCTACAGACCCTTTGATAAATGATAATAACCCACTGCTATTAGCCCAGAAACAACTCCATATCATCACAGAACCTTTTCCATACTTTTTTATTGTTAGTGTATGACATTCTTGGTATCTTTTCCCTGGTTTAAAAATTATGTATGAATCAGAATCATTGTCTTTTATCATGAATCTCGACTTATCTGATTACATCACTCTGCTTCAGTCTTCAATACTAAAACTGACCTAGCTCTAGTCCAATACAACCGATTCTTTTTCTGCTCATAGGTTAATTTCAGTTAGATACAGAGATATAAGAATTCAAGCTGTTTGCTTGTAGATATCAGATAACTGTTTGTCTACAGACAATAATGTTTGCAGCTCTCAAATTTGTCTGGTGGTAATCATAACTCTCAAAAAGACTGTCTCACACTTAAACAAAGACTTATAACATCTGTTACATTGAGTTTCTTTGTTTTTCTAGATCTTTTCTCTGTCTGAACTGTTCCAGTAGTCTCCCAGTGCTTTATAGCATAGAAAACTGTAGTTCTAAAAATGTTCATATGATTTTTGATGTCAGTTGGAGTATGATTAACTTTTGAGAGCCAAACAAGGCCTTCATACTCAAAATCTGACAGCTCAAAGCTAGACAGAGTAGTTTTGATTCTTTTAGTACTTTTTGATATTGGCAGTTAAGTTTGAGATAAAGGTGCAAGGAAGACAAAAGTAAAGAATACTATAAAAAAACAGTATACAAAATGTGATTCATCAAGGATTTTTATTGTCAGAGTATATATATATTGCTGTTAATAACAAATAATATATTATGGATAGTCTATTGGATATAAGACCTAAACAAGAGAGATCTATTCAAATTACTTATGTCATTGAATGCCTCAGAAAGATAAAAGAGGTATGTTAATTCCAAAGATAATAATATGCAATAGCTTCAGAAATCATTGTCAGCATTTTTTCTTTACTTTTGTACTGCCTATGGTAAGGGGCTAGAAAGTTCTTTCATGTCTAATATATATAATCAAATCTGCTAACTATTTCTGAAAAGTTATATTTCTCATCTTTGTAAAGTCATTTTTTTATTTATAAATTTAACAACTATAGAAGTAATTTTTGCCAGACTTTACACACTTTTTGGCAAAAGTGATAGACACTCTTCAAGATAGTGTTTTCTATTATTTTCAAGTAATTATTAAGGCAATCAGCAGTTATTGTAGTAAAAAACATTTATATTATAGCTATTACATTTTATGTTGAATAAAATCCAGACTTTTTTGATATACTCTTCTTTTGTATAATATACTAATTATGTTTTTCTATAACTTTATTAATTTTAAAACAATAATAATATTTCGCTTTATATACTAAGTCTTTAGCAGAAAACTAATTGCTTATTAATCTTCTATATCTGACCAAGTAGAGAATCTCTTCTGATTATTAACTTCTTCAAGTTTAAAGCTGCTCTTGTCACAATTTTTATACATTTTATAATAATATATCTATAGAGCTTATCTTGTTCTTCTCTGTACCACTTAAAATATTTTTTGAGTTGTATTTTAGTGTTTGTTATGATCTCAGTAGAGGAAGATACTCTTGTTAAAATATATTTCAAAGTTAAAGAAACAACTAAATACTGAGTACAGTGGCTTTTTTTTTATATAAAACTAATGATTCTTGACTCCACATAATATAAAAGTTGGCCAAATGGTGATGTTGTAGCATCTAAAGTTATACAAAGCTGCCGCAAATGAATTTAAATGTGATGCATTCATAAAAAAACTAAATAAATGCGTGCCAAAACCTTGTACTACAACAGTAAAACACTTTATTATATTTAATGTTTTGTAAAATTAATATATTTTGTACATACGCACGCACACACAAATGCAATCAATACCCGATCTTGACATATTTTGTAATGTATCATACGCACGCACAGACATGTCTCTGAAATGCTTTTTTCATTTTTTGATTTGAAAGTAGGATGTTATTGAAAAATGTTTCTTGTATCATTTATTACAGAAGCCTTCCAAGTAGTAATGTACAGTACCAAAAAGATATGTTTCACCCATTTTAATATCTGGCGTGAATAATAAAGATATACAACTTCAAATCTCTTTCTAAAGATGTGTAATAGGGTGTTTCAGCAGTTCTAGTGGTTTGATTGTTTTTGGTTTGGGGGTTTAATATTGAAAAATCATTGGCTCTCATTAATCTGAAAAGTAGATAAATTTTATCTCCAAACAACTATCAAAATTTTTAGTTGTTTGAATAATTGTTTGAATAGTTGAAAAATGAAGAAATCGCGGGCTTATTTTTTTAAGAAAAAAATATAAATTTTATATCATACTTAGGGCACTCAGTTGATTTTTTATAGGTTGATTATTATTGGATTATATATTTAATTCACGAAATCAGAACAATCAGATATCTAAAACTGTTGAAACACCCTAATATGTATTGAAATACAATACTTGGAATAATAAAAGTGAAAAACATTTATATTATTAATGGAAAAAAAGATATAGTTTTATTAGCAGATTTAGTTAATCTTTTTTTTCAAGTAAGATCAATCGATTTGGCATATTCAATCAGCATCTTCTGCAAGTATTTGCTGATATTTTATTCTACTCTTTTAATAAAGTAGTCTTCTGCTCACTATGCAGATTTAATTTGTAGCTTCTTGCTCTGATTCTATTATCAATGATTTTCTATATATTCTCTATAAGACTATAGTCAGAGTTGTTGAGTGGCAATTGCAAAACATTAATATCATGTTCTTTTTTGAACATTCCTGCAACTTTTGATTGATTTATACTGGTATTATTTTTCTTAAAAGTATATCTACTGCTGCTAGATACAGGAAGAGCATGTAAGAATAAAAGAAACTAGTCTTTAAGAACTTTTATACATCTTAGACCATTCATATTTTCATCTACAAAAACAAGTGAGCTAAGTTCTTCTGACTAGATATATCACAAGACCATAACTAATCCATTATTTTCTTGTATCTTTGAGATAAAATGATCTGTATTAAATATTTTATTTATTTGGCAGTAGATCTTTCTTCTTGAATTTTACTTATATAGTACAAATGACAGCTTTTTACTTGAGATAACAGTTTTTCACTTATTACTACAGTCTTTTATTATTTTATACCAAGTTTGACATTTTACAATATGTGGCTTAATAAGATAAAGCTTTGACACAGATTTAAGGCAAAAATAATCTATGTTGTGTAAAGGTTTATATATGGCAACCTTGCTGAAATTCTTTTCTGTGTAAGTACTAGCATTATTAACTCAATTATCTAAAGTTAACCATCTATCTTTTATAAGATTCAAGAAAATACATCTTTTGTCTTTAGGTATAAGTATCTGTGCTCTTCCAGAAGACTTTCTGTTATCAGTAGTTCCTCTTTCTTTATATTTTTTTTAAAAAATATTGAACTGTTGATTTGAGTATATTCAGCTTGGCTGAAATGCTAACAATATTATTTTTATCAAGTTGAAGACCAAGTATCTTTTGTTTTGTAAAATCTGAAAACATGTTATAGAGTCTACAAGAGTTATTCTTTTGTGTGTTTGGCATTATAGTAGATATATTAATTAATTTTTTAAGATCTTAATAAATATAAAGTATATGTTATAATGCAATGGTATAAATAGCATGCTAGGCTGCAAAATATTTGTTTCTCAGACTATGCTGAGAAAATAATATATTGTTAAATAAATCTTTTTCTTTCTTTATTTCGATATTTAATTTTCTATTTATATATATATTTAAATTGTTTTTATTTTACAAACTGTGACTATTTTAAAGGAATGTTAGTATTAAGAAAGTTATATATATTTTTAATATAACTTAAGTTTATACTATTTGAAAAAGATTTTAATATTATAATATGAAATATTCTTTAATTTTCTAAAAAAGTATTCATGTAATAAAGTATAATATCTACTTTATAGAGTCAATATCTTTTTCTAATGTCAGAAATACTTTAATAAAAGATTATAATTTATTTTTTAAATATATATTATTTTTAAATACATCTGACTTAGAGTGAAATTGACTTACTTCCAACCCTGTCATGACTTCTTTCTATCCAAGAAGACTATTCTCTATTTTACTTTTATTTTAATTCTATAATCTCTCTAATAAAACAAATCACAATGCCAAAGAACAATAAAGTTAAAACTACCAACTCATATTACAAGACAACAGATTTCGAAAAAGTAATAATTATTGGAAGATATAAAAAAGGATGTAGCCCCTGTGAGATTTCAGATGCAGAAGACATACCCCAATCAACTGTTTATTGTATAATTAAAAAATATGAGACAAAGAAGATGTGCACTGAGAAGGAGCATTCTGAGGCCTCTAAGAAGTTATCACCACAGACAATTTGTTATTTGAAGTTTACCATAAAAAAATAGACACAACACATTAGATACCATCACGCGCAGTGTTAAAAAGATGCATGACATCTCAATCAGTCAAGCAACAGTATGCAAATATCTGCACGATATGGACCTTTGCTCTTGCGTTGCTGTGGCTAAGCCTTACCTAGATGAAGCACAAAAGAAGGCATGCTTGCAATAGGTTAGAGAGCAAAAAAATTAGAATGATAAATGAATATCAGTAATCTGGAGCGATAAGTCCAGATTCACCCTTTTTCAGAAAGGTGGACAGCAATATGTTTGGCACCAACTGCTTGAGAAGTACGACAATAACTGTCTGGTACCAGCAGTGCAAGGGTTGGCTGGTTCAGTATCAGTTTGGGGATATATTTGGGCAGAAGATGTTGGCCCACTAGTTATATTAGATGACTACATGACAAAAGAAATGTATGTCCAGACACTGAAGGACAACTATCTTCTATTTCTTGCTGCCCTTCCTGACAAGAACACCACCACCTACCTTCTCCAAGAAGATAATGCCAAGCTACATAAGAGCAAGTTGGCAGAACAGTGAAAAAAAAGAAACAATGTGGCTATCTTACCATGGCCTGCAAAAAGTTCAGATCTCAATTCGATTGAGAATGTGTGGAGCTATCTTGATAACAAGGTTAGAGATAGAAGATCTCAGCCTACCACGCTAAAAGAACTGGAGGTTGCTTTGTTGGAGGAGTGAGCAGAAATCACAGCAAGTACTTATGTGAAGTTTTGCCTGAGCATTAAAGATCGTATGATATTAGTTAGAAAGAAGCATGGAGGAGCTATTAACTATTAAACCTCCATCATTTTTTAATATAAATAAGCAACACATATTACAAAATCTTTTATTCATTTTTTGTCTTTAAGGATTATGTCTTTGAGAACTTATTTAACCTTGAAAAACAGAGATGTACTTCTTTGATTTTAGCAGAGTTATAAGTAAGTCAATTTCACCCTAAGCTGGGTGTATCATTACATTAATTATATAATTTATTATACCTATCAGATATGAACTTATCAGAAAATTCTTGTTTCATATGCCCTCTCAAGAGCTGGCTAACCTTTGCAAGTGATACCCAGTTTCTTTGGCATCTGGTGAAATCAATTCCATTGTCTTTGAGTATGATGAAATGATTTATACACAACCTGGTTTTATCTTCTTGAGAAAGCAATGACCAGCCGGGTTTGTTCTAAGATCCTGAACAGATGGAAGAGCTGGCAGTTGATCACATATAATCTTGGTACATGTATTAACAATCCTTTTGATTTTCTTGGTTAGCTCGATCTCAAGATCATGTTTTATCATCATATATATATGTTTTGTAGTAATATTATTGATGTTTGATACTGGTTTTGGAATGATGTCAGTAGGAGTCTATTATATTTGATATTAATTAATAAGACTTTAATTATTATGACATTTGCTTACATTGCTAGATGTTGCAATAGTTTTATTTGGGAATTCACAATCTTTAAATACATTGTAAAGATTTGTCATTTGAAGTTGCATCACATCTTGTTTTCTTTTCTGATGCTTCTTGACCACTCTTTAAAGAAATAAGTGCAGCTTGTATTCCTTGAAACAACTGAATGACCGTATTTTCTGTATTGTTCATAATTGTAAAAACAAATTAGTTACTTGTTTGTTATAGAAAAAGAAAGAAAGAGAAAAAGTTTTACTAGAAACTATTATTAGTTTCAAATTTTTAGCATCAAATTATTTGTGCAAATCTATTGGTTACTTTTAAAGAATTATTGATCTAGTAACTTCACTGATAGCATACAGATACTTGTTTAAGATCCCGAGTATATATTCAAAATACATATAACATTATTGTCTTGATATAATTAAGTGTAAAGCTATATATTCAGAAAGTAACTAATTCTACTCTTACTTATATAACAAAGTTTTTTTTACCTATCTTAAACATGTATACAATTACAAAAGCCTCTTGTTACCAATGCCAAATTTGCAAGTTGACCTTTAATAACAGTCAAACATAAAAAAGCTGTCTAGAAAAGTGTATTGCAAATAGTACACACTCACTTGTAAATGCTGAAGTTTCTCAAGCAGTTTATTTTCCTGATCAAAGCCAGTCTACACCAGCAATGGTTTCTAACCTGGCCTTTAGGTAAGCTTATGAAAAGCAAAAATACAAAAAGATAGACAATATGTTAATCAGTTGTATTATTTTATAAACAAATAGAGAAAACACTAATGTGAGCAGTAAGAAAGATATGGATATCATTGACAGAATTGAAGATGATAAGTACATGATAAGATACATCATATTATTAAGACAGGATGGAGTTAGCCCATTACGTGATATACATCTTCCTAACTCATCATATGATCTTTTAACTAACTTATTACTTCTTATAAAAATAAAATTCAAAAATATAAATTAACTATGATAATATTCAAATTTATTTATATATAAATTTATTTATAAGTTATTTAAACAAGCTTAACACTGTTATTACTCAAAATGTCTCAAACTACTCAGTACTCACATTCCTGCAGATGTGGATCTAATACACACATAAGAACAATGCACAGAGATTGTCCATTGAATAGTGCAGTATCATATGTACAAGCTCAAAACTATTATTGCCCAAGTTGTGAATTAACAGGACACAGGCAATCAACTCATTGCAGCTGCCCTAATAATGCAATCAACATCAATGAGAATATGAGCACAAATAACGAAGAGAGAATAAAAGAGGACACTTCTTCCCGCGTTGTTCAGAGTGTACCTGAACAGACAGTAATTGGAACGTGCACTTGCTCAAGCTGTGGCTCAAATACACATTTAAGAATAAGTCACCATGATTGTCCTTTTAATCCCAAGAGAGTCAATGGAATGAACGAAAATATCTCTGCTACTTTACAGTATAGAATTGCTCGCATGGTCCCATTTATCCCTGAAAACATTATTGGGCCAAACATTTGTTTACATGAGGGAGACCAATATCGTAGACATGTTTTCCCACCAATGGAACGTACATGTCTTTATTGTAATGCCCGTATGTGGATTGATGAGTGTCTACAAGCAAGTAGCTCAACAAGCCCAAGGTTTGGATTGTGCTGTTCTAATAGAAAAATTACTGTTCCATTACCTCTTGTACCACCACAAGCATTATTGGATTTTGTAACAAACTATGATCAATCCAACCAACAAGCTGAAAACTTTCATACAAACATTAGAGCTTTCAATAATGCTTTTGCATTTGCTTCAATCAAGGCAAATGTTGACAAAAATTTAGCCAGTGGAAGAAATGGTGTTTTCACATTCTGTATAAATGGTACAATGTACCATAATATTGGCTCACTTCGTTCTCAAGATCCTACTACTGCATGATTTTCACAGATTTATTTTTGCAATACAAACGAACAACTAGCAAGGCTTTCAACCTTATTTTCTGGATTGGATTCTTTAACAATTGAAACCATTCAAAATGCAATCAATTTTTGCAATCCTTATGCACGCACTCTTAAGTCTGTAGCTGAGCAATTCCGTGATCAGCCTATTGGAACACTCCAGGTAATTGTTAGAGCAACAATAGAAATAGGGCGCCGTTATGATATCCAAAGTTCTCCAGAAGTTGTTGCAATCACTAGAAAAACATACAGGAATTACCATGTACAAAGTTAAATTATAACAATAGAAAATCTGGGGTATTTTTTCATCTCAGCTTTTTTTGTGTGTTCAAGATGAAAGCACTGTTTTCCGGTTTTCTATTGGCTTGGATACAACAGGCAAAAATATTATTTATTATTATTATTATAAAGACATAAGAATTCATTATAAAGACATATTAAATTTAGTAAATGTTGTATTTGTTTCCTTTTTCTCTTAACACTTCAAAGTAAAAATAAATAAACATTATGTCCACAATTCCTGAACTCTACAATGAAAAGTGCCATTGTGCTGGATGTAGTCAGAACAATCTCGGCTATAGTTTTGTTGCCAGAAGAACTGCTCAACATCATAACAAAAGGGCAAGACTAAATGCCATAAGATGTGAAAGGGGTACAATATTTGAATTTATTTAATTGTATTGTAATCCATGAAATAACGTGTTGTAATAGACATGTCTACCCAAAGAAATATGATAGAGGTTGATAATGAAGGTAAGGTTTATTTAATTCAGATACCATTAGATATTAACCAGGTGTTATATTCTAAATGTAGCTATCTTAACCCATCAACCCAGAGCCCTGGAAGAATTGTACACTCAGACAAACTCACCTGTTTGGGAAGGAGCTTCAATGTCTGACACTGAAGACGTTTCTGTTACTAATGATGCAATCAGCAATAGCGACAATGATGACAGTGGAAGGAACAGCAATGAAATCAGTGAAGACGAAAGCGAAGACGATGTTGTTGAGCTCAACAACAATGAATTGAATAGTGAAGGTCAGTTAGTGTTAAAATTTTTTAAAAAAAAATAGCATTAATTTTTTTTTAATAATAGACTCTTTTGCCACCCCCGATATGCTCCAGAACCCAGTGCACAGGTTCATTGCTACTTTTGTGGTGATGTTTGCTTCCCACTATGTGGTTGACAAGGGCGCTGTTGTCTTGATCGAGTTCATCAACAAGCTCTTGACAATTTACAAGCAGGATTTCCAACTGCCCTTGAGCCTTCCTGGTCTTCAGCGCATGACAGGTTTCTCAGCCATGACCAAAGGCATAAAGAAATTTGTTGTGTGTCAGGATTGTCACAAGGTGTACAAAGAAAGTGCATCTGTCCCATCTCATTGCGATTTTGTAAAGCTTGGTGCACACTCGTCTTGCAACTGCCAATTGACAAAAACATCAGCATTGGGTGCTTTGGTGGCCAAGCGTTCATACTTGTACCAGTCTGTTGTTAATGCTTTACAAATGTTTTTTCTTCATTCAGGATTCGAGGATAAAATTAGACATTGGAATCACGAGTTGAAGATGGTGGACACGATGTGTGACATATACAATGGTGCCATGTGGAAAGAGCTCAAAGACAAAGATGGCGTGCAATTCACAAAGGATTCGCGTTCATTAATGTTGACTCTCAACATCAACTGGTTTCAACCTTTTGATAACGTCACGCACTCGATGGGTGCCATATACACTGGAAAAATAGGGTAATTTCATCTATGGCGTAGGGTACTATTATTTGTGAAGTGGTAGCTTAAATTTCCATCACTTTTGTCTTTTTTGTTTTTGACGGCAATGATAATGCTTGGTCTGTTTTATTGGATAAAAAAACGAGTTTACTCTTTTTTGTAAAAAATGTCTGCAAGATTTCTTTTTGGGACTTGTAGCCATGTCGCAGAGTCAATAGTTGTAGGGAACTTAAACCAAATGATATCTTTTGAGTGAGATAATAAAGCTTTTTATTGTTGTAATATTTATTTATAAGTATGATGAGGTTAATGGTTGTGATATTACTACAAATATTTTTGTTGTATATGCTCTACAGCTAATAAAATGTACATGACGACATGTTTTAACAAAAGTGTGTATTATTGTATTTTAGAATGAGGCAATCAATTACTGTTTAGAGAACTGCCCATTTTAACAACCAGAATAAACTATGTCATTTTGGAAGCTGGTGTAATTTGGAAAGATATATATTAAATTGTGTTCCTGAACAATTTCCCATTCTTGTCAATTCTAAAGACTTAAAAAATAAAACATACACACACAATATGTCAAACAACAACAACAATTCAGAATGCAAGTGCTCTAAATGCTCTTCCAATAGCATGGGATTTGTTTTGGTGTCTACCCAAACACTCAGAAGACATGCACAACAGGATATCGTGAGACAATATCAGTCAGGATATTCTTGTAAGTTCAAATTTAAGAAAATTATTATTGAAACAATTTTAATTAAATATTTATTTTCATATAATATAGCCTCAGTTGTAGAAGTAATGTCAAATGACAATGACATGGAGATTGACTTTGAAGACAAAGTTGATGCCAAAGATCAAGTTGAAGGTATGCATAGTATTTTTATTAAAGTTTTATAATCATTTATAATATCTAATAATTTGATTCTTTTTTACCTAACAAAACAGCCGAAGACTTACCTCTTTTTGACATTGATTCCTTGTTTGATTCTGAAAGTGAAGATGAGGGTGTCATTGAAGCAACCATTTTGGATATTTCTGACGGTGAATCTGATGATGTTAGAGGTTAGTACAAAAAGCACATATAAATCAATAAAGTCAACAAGTATTGATTTTTTTTTCAAATAGAGCACTTTTCTTCATCCAATATGCCAGTCGATCCTACTCATGCTTTCATTGCTTCTTTTGCTGCCTTCTTCATATCCAAATATGTTGTCAATTCTGGTGGTGCTGTTCTGTTAAAGTTTCTTAACAAAGTATTGGCACACTTTGGACAGTCTTTCTGTCTTCCCCTCAGTATAAACGATGTCAACTCTATGACCGGTCTCAGCAACATGACTTGAGGTGTCCAGTGGTTTGTTGCATGTGGCAATTGTAACAAAGTATACAAAGAGTCCGATGTTGTTCCAGAGTGCTGTAATTTCGAGAGACTCTCTGGTAGAGAATGTGGAAACGCTCTTTTCTTTGCAACATCAAGAGCCTTGACTATCCCCAAAAAGATCTACATGTATAGCTCCATAATCAAAACATTGTGTATCCTTTTTTGCTGCCCTAGATTCAAAGACACCATCAACCATTGGAGAATCAGAGTGCAAGTTCCAGGCATGATGTTTGATATTTACGACGGTACGAAGTGGAACAGTCTGAAAGATAGCAATGGTTTACTGTTTGCGAATCATGAGCACTCCATAATGCTTACCATGAACATCAATTGGTTTCAACCTTTCGATGGGGTCACTTACTCCTGTGGTGCGATATACCTTTGCATCAACAACTTGCCAAGATTGGAATGGTACAAGAAGGAGAATGTTGTTCTCGTTGGTCTCATGCCAGGACCCAAGGAAGCAAAGACAAGTGAGATCAATCACTACCTCCGTCCCCTTGTCGCGGAACTCAACCAGTTGTATTGCAGTGTGGTGATGCCTACCATACAGTGCCCATCTGGTGATCTTGTCCATGCTGCCCTTCTTCTTGTTGCCTGCAACATTCCTGCTGCCCGTAAGACTTGTGGGTTCACCTCTCATTCAAGCACATGTGCATGCAATAAGTGCAACTGACAGTTCCCTCGCCTTCCAGACTCTAATGCTGTGGACTACTCTGAGTTCATGTTTTCTGAGTGGGTGCCTCGCACTGATGCCAAAAACCGCCGTGATCCCAAGTTGTGGAGAATGGCCAGCAGTGATGCACAGAGAAAGAGATTAGAGAGGGAAAATGGTGTCTGATGATCAGAATTGCATGACCTGGTTTACTTTAACCTTGTGGAGTGCACTGTCATCAATCCAATGCACAATATGTACCTCGGAACAGCAAAGAGGATAATGGAGAAATGGAGATCTTCAGGTCTCATCACAGATGCACACTTGGCCAAAATGCAGTTGGATGCTGACAAGCTTGTACTGCCAGAGGACTGCACGCCATTAGGGACAAAGATCGGGCATGACTTCCCATTCATGAAGGCCGACAAGTGGAAGTCTTGGTGCTTGGTGTACTCTCCTGTTCTCCTGCGTGGTTGTCTACCTGAAGCTCATCTCGGTAACTGGACAACGTTTGTCAATGCATGCCAGTACCTCTCAATGCCAAGCATATCCATGGCTCACCTTGATGAAGCCCATCAATCTTTGGAGGCTTTCTGCAGAGAGTGCGAGAAGTTGTATAAAGCTCCGTTCCTTTTGCCAAACATGCATCTCCATCTTCATCTGCAAGAGACTGTACTGAACTTTTGCCCAGTTTATGGCTATTGGCTTTTTAGTTTCGAAAGATGTAATGGTATCTTGAAAAACTATGCAACAAATAGAAAAGATGGGTTTGAGGGAACATATATGAAGAAGTATCTTGAAGAAGCATACCAGGGAGATCTTATTCACCAAACTTTGCCAATAATTCGACCTGAGCATTTGGCGATTATCCTTGAGCTCACTGCATCCACTGCCAATTCCATAGCCACTTCCACTTCCACTGCCACCTCAATCCAATTCGATATCAATGCTTTTCTTGATTCTCCTGAGATCAACTTTGATATCATCAAGGGAAACGAGCCTTTGCCCCCTTCCACACTTCCTTTAGCTCTAAAGGGGGAGATTTCTATGGATGAATCTAAGTATGAGCATTTGTTGGAATACTATTGTGAGACATACGATGATCAAACTCTTGTTCATTATCGTCAGGCTGGTCATTCCGATAATTTTGTTAACAATCGGATACAGAAGTTTGAATCAATCGATCTTCTTGGGCAAATCTACAAGAGCAAAACGAAGAATTAGTGCAGGTCGTTCATGCAAGCCTTGTTTGAGACAAGTGATGGTAGAAGTACCAAGTTGTACGCAGACCAAATTCAGTACCTCTTTGTCAATACTGCTGTAAACTCGTTTGCTGGTCATGCAAGCTAGCATGTATTTGCATATATACGATGGTACAAGGAAGTTTTACTTCAGCCCAGAGCAGGAGAAGGAGTTGAGGTGAATGAGGTGAGGTTCGAAGATGACAGCATGAACAGCATTCTCCCAGTGCATAGAATCTGCTATCCAGTCGCAGTAGGCGAGCACCTTGGTCTAGAAGGCGAAGTTCAGATGTGTATAGTTCCTTTGCCACGAAAAATATATATTTAGATTCAAATACAAAAATAAAACACATATAAAAAAGAAATATTAATTAATACAGACTAATATATATAGCTGCACGTTTATTTTTTATTATTTCTATAAATTTTTGTTTGTACTTGGCATGCTATACACACATCTGTATACATCATGCTAATCTGTAAACATAAACAAGTAGAAAAAAAAACTCTAAAATAGTTGGCAAGAAAAAAATGATTTATTTTGAAAAGCACCAATCTGGTAAAGTGACTGCCAAATTCTCGGGAATGCTCACTTCTTTCTCATAAGGGATGCGCTTTTTCAAGCTTTCTGAATTTTTCTTCAAATGGATAACAGTAAGTTCATCAATAATACTAATAAACGTCTGGAGCTGGTTTAAAGAATAAAAAGTATTAATAAAGTATTATTATTTTCTTTAAAACATAAATAGATGTTTAACATTACCTCATCAGTTCTCCAGCTGGGACGATATGCCCACACTTTGTTATCTCCATCTGACTTGCCTTCAGACATCATCTCAATAGAAAGAATATTTCTGCAATCATATCGATTCATGCCCTCATGAATAGCCTCTGTGTATGTCTGGTACGTGATAATACAATGGTCAAGAAGCTACCAAAGAATATTGTATTAAAACATTAAATCAATAGTAAATTAACTTTATTTTAAAACTTACAGTCTTCTTTCTGTTGTGTCTTCTTCCAGCTTTATTTCTAGCCATAATCTTCTCTGCTGAGGTCCGGAAGACTCGCACTTGATTTTGGTAGTGATTCTTTATTATATTTATAATGATACTCTTTGACACATTTGTGCAACATCTTTGAGGTCTCAGGTACTTGAAGAGAGCCAGTGCAAGTGTCTTGTTGTACTTATTGCCATACATGCCAGTCATTGACCATGCTGATCTATTATTATTCTCAGCAACTTTGAGCGGGTCTGTGCTAACAAAGTTCGGTTTCTTGATGTAACTATTGATAAGTTGCTATAAAAACAGTATTAGATATATTAATCAGTAATGTTATTATTATCAATTTACTTACAGAAATCAAGGGATGATGTTTCGCTCCAAGGTCAAGATCATCATCCATGGAAGAAGAAGAATCTGCTGGTACAGCAGAAGGCATCACGGAATTTTGGCTGGTCATTGCCTTTTTTTATTTCGGCATTTTCAGTCATGAGCTGAAGGACCGAGTTCTTCAAAAATTCATTTGTCTTGTTGGACAAATCCAGACCATTCTTCAAATGAGTTATTGCATCAGTCACTCCTTTTGCATTTTGTTGCAAGGATTGCATCAACACATTGTTGGCTGCCAACAAGGTAAGGACGTGATCCATTGGGGTCACAGCGACTTGAACTTCAGAGGCTATGTCAACTGCTACTTCTGGAGTTGGTGTATCAATTGGAACAACAACACCTGCATTTGTGCTATTAAGAACAGCATTAATGCGTAGGTTGGGTCGGCGGGGAGCAGTAGGAATACACTTTGTCATTTTCTGTTAATAAAATAAATATTAATAATTTTCAACTAATATTATACAATTCACTACACTCGTTATATCATATTTAAAATTCACATACTAGTAAAGAGGATAAGCGGTGCAGATTAACTCTCTACCTTTCATTTGATATTTAAGCATATCTTCCAACTGCTTGATCCACATTTAGACAACTTCTTTTCTAACTCAATGAGGCGCAAAGTAGTATTTCAAGATGATGGTGGTCATATTCTTTTGGAGTATTACTTTTTACACCCCGCATTTTATCAGGGTCAAACTGGATTTTAAGACAAGTCTTTTTTTTTTCTTTTTTTTCTTTTAATGACATTTATTATTGATATTTTCTTTGTTTCTCTTTTGCTTATGTTTTTACAATTTCACTTACAATTTTTTCTTTATTTTATAGCTCAATACCAAATATGTGTCTCTTTGTTTGGCTATATTCTGTCTGATATATCAAGATAAGATATCATTCTCTTACAGATCTCTGTTACTCATTGTTGTAAATGAGTATTGACTACTGCTGTAATTGAGAATAAGTCTGAAGGAAATAATATAAGGCCTCAGCTATTCCAGTCAAAGGTGCTTACCAATTACTTTATTATTTAACACACAGGTTTAGCATGCATGATAGTGATTATATTTCATATGATGATATCACCATAATATGGAATACATCAGTGGATTATTATAAGCATAATTATAACTCATAAACACATTTACTTTCGATGTTAATACTTCATTAGGACTACACACATTTATATAATTAATCATACATTAATTATCTCAAGATCACGTTGCTCTGATTAAGGCTCAGATAGGATCGATTACCTGATCCCAGTCATATAATTTTCCAATCCAAAATAATATAAATAGCAGTAGTAGTTCAGTTTAGGAACCTGGTCAAACTTTGATACAAAATCTTTTCTCAATAAACAAAACCTATACAAGTTCTCACGAATCTTTGTTTCTAATCTCAAATCTTCAATTCTTCCTCTTAAAAACTTCTTCAACTTCAACCATCACAAAACTTATCATATTGTTTATCTAGTTATTGCTACTCATTTCCATTAAGTCTCATCATCTCTTAATCGAATATGATGGTAAGTTTTTTTCTTAAAAAAAAGTCAGATTATTCTTTTGTCTTACTCATAAATATATATTTATTTTTATTACGATTTGTTAGTTATGTCTGATATTATGCATGAAGACGTATAAACAGTAATATTTAGTAAGTTAACTACAATATATTTAATAAATACGTCTTTACTACGCACAACATTAATAATTATTTATTTTTAGAATGTATCTCTATTCAAAGACTACTGGTATTGTCTTGATAATTCTGAAAAACATATTTATATCAATTTTATGTCAAGTCTTCTTCATCTTGTAAGTATTTATGAAGAAATTTCAATTTAAATCATTTACTAATTCTTCTTTTCTATTAATCATTTTTTAATAGCATTTCTGCTATTAAAGTATGTATTCCATGTCTACTTCCAGAAGGCTTTAAATTATATATAGCGAGCAAGAAGTATTAACGATTATAATAGCTATAATATCAAAACTGTTGCAAAATTAAGATTTTTATTTAGAAAAGATTTTCCTATCAAATAAAACATAATTGAACAAAAAATGTATAACCCAATCTTTTTTCAAAAAAATAAATAAAAATAAAATAAATAAACAAACCAAAGAGGCTTGTTTATAAAAATCTACCCATGCTTTGTTTCTCTTTTCCATTGTAAAAAAACGTAGTTTTATTGCTTTTGTGTGTATAAAAAACAAACTATCATCATTTCTTTATATTGTAAAAAACCTACAATCATTTCTTTGATAGTTTTTAAAGCATTTCTGCCGCCAATAAAAAACCCCAGTAAAAATAATAATATGGGACGCTAGCTCTTTATAGACCTCAAAATATAACACATAAAGAGGTAGACTCAGTAGGAGTAAAGCGTAACTACAATATTTATTCAGTTTCCATAGTTTGCGGACTGACAATCGTTCTACATTGGGTTTTTGTGTACCCATTGTTATGATGATACACATCAGCACCATAGATGATATCGTATCATTGCTCAAAATGATATATCACAAAAATTGTGATGTTATTGGCTCAATCATCTACATTTTTAGTACATTTGATCCAGATGAAATTACCCTATTTTTCCAGTGATACCTGGTAGTAAACAATCTGCCTCGCAATGAAAGATACAAGCCAGAGAACACACTTCTCGTAGGATTGATGCCTGGCCTGAAGGAACCCAAATCCAAAGAGATAAACCATTATCTCCAGCCTATGGTAGATGATCTGATAAGATTGTATGAGGGACTGGCAATCCCAACTTTTGAGTGTCCTAGTGGTGTCCACATCCGTGCCACATTGATGATGGTGGCCTGTGACATCCTGGCAGCAAGAAAGACAAGTGGGTTCACCTCGCACAACAGTACATGTGCATGTTACAAGTGCAACAGACATTTCCCTTGCTTGGAAAACGGTGTCAATGTTGACTTTTGTGGGTTTGACTTCTCTCGGTGGGTGCTTCGTGATGGTATAGAGAACAGGTTGCATGCTGAGGAGTGGGAAAGTGCTAGTAACCCCTCAGAAAGGCATTGGCTGGAGGTCAAAAATGGTGTTCGATGGTCTGTGGTGATCCAGACACTCGGATGTTGGATTTATCACATATAAGAACATATTCATATTGGGATAGCATAGTAGCTATCATCTTGTCAGTATAAAATATATATAAACGATTAAGTAATCAGCCCAATAATTATTACAGTTAGTACTGTAGATAATATCTTAAAGATTGTTAAGATAATTATATCATACTGCCAGGTAAACTGTGTCAGATCGATATGGAGCTAATTTAGTAGGAAGTCCTAAAGCTCTAGTATAAAAGAGAAAAGAATAGCTAAGAGCTAAAGAAGTATGATTTATGACTTGATGTCATAATTGTAACACCGACACTAGTTAAGCAGTAAATACACTCTAATAACCAAATATAGTAAAGGAAGAAAGCCTTAAGAAACTAAGACGTAATGACAAGAGCAGATTGTGTTTTCTTATAAAAAGGGACACTTTTTATTTATGAATAAAGACAACTTATATACAGTCTCAAAGTATTTCTATACGTCTCTATTATCAAATATTTTATTTTTCTATTGTTTCGTACCTGAAATACCACATTTTTTACTTTGAATTCTCGAAATGTCTCAACAATCCGCTGTCAACTCTACTATCGTTTCTGGTGAAGAAACCGCCCGTGTCAACTCTGGTGTCATTCCTCCTCCTTCTGCTGCTGGTTCTGCCGACCACGATGGTGATACCGTGATGACTCCCTTGTGTTCTGAGGACGGTGCCTTTGATTCTGAAGAAGGTTCTTCTGGTTCCGATGCTGGCCGTTCTGGTTATGAGGGTGCCAATTCTCCTCGCATCTATTTGGGTAACTCTGGAGTCAGAGTTAACAACAACCTTGTGGCCACCGTGGAAATGTTGCTGGCTTCTGCTGAGGAGGACCTCAACACTAAGAAGGGCAACTACTATGCCGCTCTAGGCCACTACTTGGGTGTTTCCAAGAGGGATCCCACCTCTACTGCTGCCAAGTCTGCTTCCAAGGGTGCCAAGGAAGCACAAGTACTGTTTGCTGAGGCTGAGCAAATACTCAAGGACCTCAAGGCTTCCACTGCTCCTGCGTCTAAGCCTCATGACAAGAGAAGCACTCTGGTTCCCAGTAACCTACCTTTTCTCCAGCTTCGTTCTGAGGGTCCTCTGGTGAAGGCCAACCGCGATGTGTTCGATTCGGTGTATGACTTCTGCCAGGAGTTTACCACAGTCCTGGAAGCACACTCTCTGTCCTTGGATTCCTGCTGGGAACGTCTGTTGCCCACTTGTTTGAACAAGGAAGAACGTTCTTGGTTTGAGGACAAGCTCAAAGGCAAGGCCTACAACTGGAAGAAGGCGGAAAGTATTCTTCTGGATCACTATGACATGCCGTTCTGTAAGTTCCTGAACATGGGCCGTGTCTGGTGCATGAAACAAGGCAAAGGAGAATCCGCTCGTTCTTTTGGTGCCAAGTTCCAAAAGTTCTGCCGCCAGGCCTCGTTGGACGATGGTGTTCAATTGGTTCTCTGCTTCTGGTGGAATCTGCGTCCGGAAGTCCAGGAAGCTTGTCTCATTCCTTTGTCAGCCAACTATGGCACCAAGATGCCCTCAAAGATTGAGGACATCATCTCGTTGGTGAGTGTGTCAACAAGTGACTCCACTGCTTTGTTACATAATCCTGCCAATGGTACTGCCGCGTCCTCCTGGAGTTCGTTTGCTGCTCACAATGGTGCGTCCTCTCTCTCTGCTGGTTCCCACAAGGGAAAGAAAAGGTCTTTCTCTTGCGAGCGTGGTTCTCAGTCTCCCAAGAAGGCATGGGACTTCAAGAAGGCGATGAAGGATGGCATCTGTTTCTCATGCAAGGCTCCCTGGGTTAAGGGACACTCCTGTCCAGAATGGGAGAAGTACTTGACAAAGGTGTCAAGGATGGCAGTCCGCTCCTCTGCTGGTAGACCAGCAAGAGCTTCCACTGTGGTTGAGGGGAGTCCCTCGTTGTCTTGGTCAGAGTACCAAGACAACACTAGTGCTCTGGCCAAGATGGCATTAGATTGTAAGTACAATCTTAAAGACATGGTTATTAAAAGAGATTTTAAGAACATGAGCACTAATATTACCTTTTCTATTTTGGCAAATAATTCTATTAGAACCATCTCCTTGTTGGACTGTGGGGCCACGTTCAGTTCGGTGGACAAGAATTTTTGCTTGAAGAATGGAATAGCCATTAGTTACATAAATCACATTAATAAAGATTTGTTGAACAAAAACAATGTTCATAAGTATTTTATTCGTTTGGCTGATAGCAATACCCAGATTAAAAGAATCGGTACTTGTGTGATCAGTGTAACTTGCAATAGTAAGACTATTCAATGCGAGTTTGAAGTAATGAATTTAACTAATAGTCATGAGTATGATTTCAGTATTGGTACTGATTATATGTCTTCTCTTGGTATTGGTATTTATGGTTTACCTTTATCATATGATGATGCTGATTCAAGTGAGGAACGTAGAGAAGCCAATAGACGCTTCAATAATAAGAGTGATCTTCTTGAATCCATTGAGAGAGAAAATGAACGAAAGGAAAATAATCCGGCTGTAGGTCCCAAACAGTTTGAGGATGCTATGGATTATATTCAACCGTTCATTAAAGACAATCAAGATATTCCTAAGGGTTCGTTTTGTACTATACCTGAAAGTGTTGTATGTCCGGACACTCCAGAAAATGCTACGGCGTTCAGAAGCCCTTATCCCATTCCTTACAAGATGCAAGGTGTAGTAGATGAACAGGTGAAAGAATGGCTGGACAATGGTATAATTGAAAGAGCGTCTGCAAACACACAATGGAATACGCCTTTGACTGTTGTCAAGAAGACAAACGGTAAAGGAGAAATTACTGGATATCGCGTTTGCCATGATCCCAGATTAATTAATTGCCTGTTGAAGTCAATTGATCGTATGCCTTTGCCATTGATTGGTGAATTGTTTGAAGATTTAAAGGGTGCGAATATTTATTCCACTCTGGATTTGAAATCTGCGTTTAATTCTTTGAGGTTGAACCCAAAGGACACACACAAACTTAGTTTCACATGGCGTGGTGTACAGTACAAACCTATTGGTACAGTGTTTGGTATAAAGCATGTCAGTTCACAATTTCAAAGAACTATGAGTATAGCTTTGGAAGGACTATCTTTTGTACGGTTTTTTGTGGATGACATTGTTTGTGCAAGCAAAACGTTCGAGGAACACAAGGAACACTTGAAGCAAGTCATTGAGAGATTAACAAGGGTCAATTTGAAGTTGAATCCGAAAAAATGTCATTTCTTTCAGAAAGAAATTTATTTGCTTGGTTTTCATATTTCACCTGAAGGAATTACAATGGACCGCAGAAAACTTGTTAATGTTCTTGAATTTCCTCAACCAAAGACGGGTAAAGATATCCAAAGTTATTGTGGGTTGATCAACTATTTTAGAACGTTGATTCCGAATGTATCTTCCATTATGTCGCCACTAGATTCATTGAGAAATGAAAAGTCGATTACCCATTTATGGACAAATAAGCATCAAACTGCATTTAATAACTTGAAAAAAGCACTTTTGAGTGATCTGGTGTTGTCGTACCCAGATATGAACTCTCCTTTTAGTATCAGCTGTGATGCATCTCTTACTGGTATTGGTGCAGTGTTGTATCAAGTCAAGGATGGCAAGAAAAAATATATTTCTTTTGTGGCTAAGAGCTTATCCCAAAGTGAAAGAAAGTATTCTGCGACCAAAAGAGAATTACTAGCGTTAGTATTTGCACTCAAGCGTTTTCACAAGTATGTCTATGGTTCTCACTTTACCTTGTACACGGATCACAAGGCATTGACATATCTTCACACCCAACGTGTTGCGAATCTGATGATGATCGCATGGATGGACACGATTTTACAGTATGACTTTAAGATCGTTCATTTGCCTGGTGTTTCGAATGTGCTTCCTGATGCGTTGTCACGTTTATCTGAAGAGACTGAAACATTATCAAATGAACTGGGTGGGGATAGTATGGTTAGATCCATCATGAGAAATAGTGCTGTCACTATGGAACCGCTACCAGACATCTTGAGTGGTGAGTACTTTACTCCTCCCACAGAAAATGAAAGGAATAAGTTATTAGTTGAAGAACATTTGAAAGGTCATTTTGGTGTAGAAGCTATACTACATGCCTTAAAGAGAAAAGGTATCTATTGGACCAGCTTGAAGAGTCAAGCAAATGATCTTATACAATCGTGTATACAGTGTCAACGTCATAATATCACAAGAAAAGGTTACAATCCTTTAAGACCTGTGACTGCAACACTTCCTGGTGACAGTTGGGGAATAGATCTGGCTGGGCCATTTACAACATCGACTAGAGGAAATGAGTACTTGTTAGTGATGATAGACATCGCAAGCAAATTTTATGTATTGCGTGCCATACCTGATAAAAGGGCAGCTACGATTGCGTTACAAGTACTGGACGTCATTAGTACATGGGGTCCGATGAGAAAGTTGCAGAGTGATTGTGGACGGGAGTTTGTGAACTCGCTGATGACATGTATAAAAGAGAATGTTGGTTTTGAACATGCGTTGATTTCGCAGTACCATCCTAGAGCTAATGGTGCAAGTGAAAGAGCTGTCCAGTCGGCAGTGAACACCATTAAAAAACAAATAGTTGGTAATGTCGCTGATTGGGATCAGAAGGTGCCATCTGCGCAGTTGTTTTTGAATAGCAAGTATAATGCTAGGACTAAGAGTACACCATTCTCGTTAATGTTTGGAAGGAATCCAAATGACTTTGTTGATTTTAGTAAAGAAAAGGATAGTGCAACTGCTGAACAGATTCAGAAAGAGTTGCAAGAAAAAATTAAAAGAATGACTGAGATAGTCTACCTGCCATGTTTGAACACGTAAAGCATGTCACAGAAAAGCAAAAGGAACGCTTTGATGGAAGTCACAAAATGATAGATCTGGTTGCAGGAACCACGGTAATGATTTTGGTGACAGAAAAACAGAATAAATTAGATCTGAAGTATAAGGGATTCTACACTGTTGTTAGAAAGACTGCTGCCAATACTTATGTATTGAAAAATGAAAAGGGATTTTTAGAACCAAGGAATTATCCTCCTTTATTGAAAAAAGTTTCTGACAAGGTATTAGAGCAAAAGAATGACTTTTTTGAAGTCGAAGCAATTATTGGGCACATAAAAGATGACAAGAACAATTATTTGTATAGATGCAAATGGTTGGATTATGATGAGTCTCACGATACCTGGGAGCCAGAGGATCATTTTACCGATCCTAAGTTCATAAAAGAATACTGGCAAAGAATTAGTGAAGCTCCAGAAGGTATCAAAGACATCAATAAGGCCAATAAGAAATTATTAAAGGATATGAAAGTTGCATATTCCGCACCTAAAGAAAATTCGGGTACTAAAAGGAAGAATTATGCAAAGACAGCTTATCAAAAGAAAAAACGCAGTAAGGTCTAAATAAAGAGTTATTTGAGCACCACAGTACTCGTTTAAAATAAAAAAAAAAGAACAAGCTGATCAGAAGAATTGCATAGAGTACTTGAACGGTATTTAGTTAATACCTGGGTGGGGATAATGTGGTGATCCAGACACTCGGATGTTGGATTTATCACATATAAGAACATATTCATATTGGGATAGCGTAGTAGCTATCATCTTGTCAGTATAAAATATATATAAACGATTAAGTAATCAGCCTAATAATTATTACAGTTAGTACTGTAGATAATATCAAAGATTGTTAAGATAATTATATCATACTGCCGGGTAAACTGTGTCAGATCGATATGGAGCTAATTTAGTAGGAAGTCCTAAAGCTCTAGTATAAAAGAGAAAAGAATAGCTAAGAGCTAAAGAAGTACGATTTATGACTTGATGTCATAATTGTAACACCGACACTAGTTAAGCAGTAAATACACTCTAATAACCAAATATAGTAAAGGAAGAAAGCCTTAAGAAACTAAGACGTAATGACAAGAGCAGATTGTGTTTTCTTATAAAAAGGGACACTTTTTATTTATGAATAAAGACAACTTATATACAGTCTCAAAGTATTTCTATACGTCTCTATTATCAAATATTTTATTTTTCTATTGTTTTGTACCTGAAATACCACATGGTCGCAGTTGCATCGCCTTGGATACCTTGATCTAGTACGTGGAACAATCATCGATCCCATGCATAATTTATTCCTGGGAACGCCTAAAAGATTGATGGATCATTGGATCAAAGACAAAGACATTCAAGATGGCGATTTTGTGGCAATGCAGAAGACTGCAGAAATGATGATTGTGCCTGGTGGATACACCTCTTTGAACTCGAAAATAGGAAAGCAGTTTTCGTATATGAAGGCAGACGAGTGGAAGTCATGAGTGCTTGTATACTTGTCAGTTCTGTTGAAAGATGCTCTTGCAAAAGACAGATTCGAAAACTGGATTAACTTTGATAATGTATGCTGCCTGTTGATCAAGCCAACAATCACGTTTGATGAAGTCAACACTGCCCATCAGTTTCTTCAAACTTTTTGCACCAGATGTGACGAGCCGTACAATGCCAAAATCCTCACCTGTAATATGCACCTACACCTTCATCTTCGAGATACAATTCGTGATTTTGGACCAGTATACAGTTATTGGCTATTTGGGTTTGAGCGATTTAACAGGTTGTTAAAAAATTTGAAGACAAACAGGAAGATCAGGTTTGAAGAAACATTTATGAAGAAATTTATTGAAGATGTGCACAAAGACGATCTTGTCAACAGTTTCCTTCAGAGTATCCGCCAGACATCTGCATTTCCTCTCCTTACCAAACTCACTTCTTCCTTTACACCCGCCACCATTCCATCCATCTGTCAACGTACCTTCCGCATACAGTCATTTGTTGAGGCTTCTGAAGATCAAAATGTACTTGTAAAAGGCAACGAACCTCTCCCTCCTTCTGCATTCCCTCTATCATTAAAATCCGCTACCACAATGAGTGACATTCACTATGTTCATCTCTTACAATACTACAAAGTTGCGTACAACAATGAACAATTAGTTCACTTTCAATAAGCGTCGGAATCGCCATACTTTGTTGACAATACAATCACCCTGTTGAAATACATCAACATCCTTGGGCAGGTCTACAAGGGTAAAGGTGAATCTGGAAGTCGTGGCTCTCTTGTACAAGCAAAGTTCATTGGAAGTACTGGTGAGCATATCATTGCATACACGGGTCAAATACAGTACATTTTCACCCATTCTTTCACTCCTCCACCCACCTCTTCATCCCTTACTCCCTTGCTCCGCACCCATCGCCACCCAACACAACTTCTTTACAATTCTCAACATATTTTTGCATTTATCAAATGGTACACACCCGAAAATGATAAATCGCGAGAGTACAAACACGTTGAAACCTGCTTTCCAACATTTTCTCCTGACGATTTCCAATGTGTATTGCCAGTGCATAGAATTATGTTAGAAGTAGCAACTGCTGAGCACACAACACGCAGAAAAGTAAAAAAGATGCTGGTCATTCCTTTACCAAAAAAAACAATACATTTAAAAAATAATAAAATATAACTCCCTTTTTTAAAGGCACACAGAAAAGAATAATCATAGTGTTTGTATTTGTTGGTACATTTATCATTGTCAGATGGAGGATCTGGAGGATGTAGAGGATAAGAAAACAAAATTTATTGAAACTCATATCTAAAAGCCCAGTGAGGGAGAAGGGACATCAATCTAGGCGGGACTGCTAAAACAGCATCTCTACCAAACGACCTCTTCAACATCTGACACGAATTGAAGTCCATGCGATTACGCATAAAATCATTAACAACCGCAAGAAGGTGATTGTACTAAATACAAATAAGTGATTAATCAAAGTTCTGTTTCATTTACATCCATAAAAAAATAAAAAAAAGCTATATACAATAATGTAAACAAAAGAAATTACCTCATCACTTCTCCAACTTGGATGCACTGTACAAATTGCATGGTTGCTCAAGACTCCAGGCATATTGTCTTCAGATTCGCCCTCAGACATTGCTTCTTTCTGTAAGAGTCCGTTGCAGCTCTTACCCACCTTCACATCAATTTCAGCCTTGAATGTATGGTAGGTCAGCTCGCGATGGTCAAAATGCTAGTTTATAAATGTATTAATATGAATACATTTAATTTGCAATCAAAATATACTTCTAATATACATTGTCTCTCGATCTGCTTTTCTTGACCGTGAATTTGTCTTTTTGCGCGCTTCATAGGATTCCTTGACTCGGCGTCTCGTTCCACAAAAGTTTGTGTAGATACAATTGCTAATATTGGTCTGTTGAACACTAGTCCCAACAACCTTTGGAGCCAGGTATGCATGAAGGTCATGCATCGGCTGTCTGTTGGGTGGAAGTCTGTAATCAACATTAACATCCCAACTGCGCTTGCTGTCATTAGTTGCAACTAGTTCTGGCTTATTTGATTTGAAGTTGTGTTTCTTCAACTCTCCTTGGCTAAGAGCCTATACTTAGTATGAGATATTATGTTAATGAACTACTATACATCTCAACACTTACTAAAACTCTAGTGCGATCCTGTTTACTAAGTTCACCAGTGTTTGCACCAGTAAGAACCACTGGACCAACAGAAGGAGCAGCAGAAGAGATACCAAAAAAAGTCTCAGAAGGTGTTGTATACTAATTCAGAGTAGAACCAATGGAAGAAGCTGCGAAAGGGACAGAAGCAGAAGCAGGTATAGTAATAGGAGCAATAACTGCAAGAAGTTCTCCAGAGGCATTGGCAATGCTATCAAGTATTTCCAATGAATCTTTGTTCCCCTTGATGACAATGCCAATGTTTGAATCTATGGTCTTGAGGCTTTCCTCCATAGCGGTGAGCCTTCTTAAAAGCTCAGTATATTCCGGGGATGGAGCTGGGGCAATTGACTAACAATTGTTAACCATGGTCTGAAAGCTATCTAATAAAATGTTATACATGAGTTGATTGTTAATTATATTTGTTTTATATATCTATTCATTGTATATATAGGGTATTATTAACATACAAAAGAAGTTAGATGTTAAGTGAAAGAATAAAGTGTAGTTAATGGAAAGATGGTAAAAGTAAAAGCAAGAACCCATTTATTATATTACACTTGTTGCTATAAATACTCAGGATTTCTTTAATATGCGTATCTCTATTAATACTTCCTGAAATCAATGGGGTACAAATCGGCTTTGAACATGCTTTTTTCAACTCAATCCAATATATGATTTTTGTCTTTTGGCCTTTTGGCCCTTTGGTCTTTTGTTCTTTTTGTTTTTTTTTCATTTCCAAGTTTTCTCTCTTCTCTCTCTTTCCAACATTTATTATATTTACAGACTTTCTTGGTAAGATATCTTCTTCTTTAGTATTATATATATATATATATAACTAAAATGATAATAATTGTTTTCTATTACTACAGACACTCGCGTTTTGTTACCTTCTGATGCATCCCCTTCACAATGTTCGTCTGGATTAGCTAAGGTTAGTAAATATACTTTATGCCATCATTCTATAAAATTATTCCAACCTTTTCCTTTCTTTTGTATAGGCCATATCGCCAAAATTACTCTCTACTATTAAACACAGTTATGAACACGGTAATATTTTATTTTATTTCAATCTATCTCTTTTTAATAAGCACACGGCTTAACATAATTTCTATTATAGATGAACCTCCTTCTCATGAGCACATCGCGAATCAAGAACTTTCATTTCATACAAGTGTCATCGACATGGTAAATTTTATTTTTATTTTTGTACATATAACAATATTATTTATTTTGTATATTAATGCATATCATTTACTGAAGACAATATCAGCGCCTCCTATGTACTCTCTTGGTCTGCAAATAAATCCTTTTGCTTCAGGTAGGTAAATAAAATATTCTACCACACAGTTCACAAACAATAATTTTTTTTCAGCATTTTTATAGCCAAATAAAGTATATTGAGTACTATGGTTCGCATTCATGACGCCTTTTCTTTTTGTCTCTGGTAAGCTATTATATTGCAAGCATAATTACATATATATATTCTTAATATCCACGATTTCTTGTTCAAACAGCTAACACTTTTCTAATTTCATAGAACAATCATTTACAAGCAAGCAACACACAACTGAGCTTTTCTCTGGGAGATATTGTTTGGAGAATACTTGTTTTATCAGAACATTGGCCATTTCAAATTGTATGAAGGATAGAACACTAGCCAGAACGTTCCTGAATATTAAATATAACCACTATACTATAAACCTAATAATATTCTTTTCTTTCTAATAAAAACAAAAAAAACCAATAATTATTATAAATAAATTAAAGATTGGAGAAGTGTATGGAAGCAAATAGTACAAGAAGAAGTCTCTAAGATTGGATAAAATAAATTCAAAGACAACAAAACCCTGTAAAAACTGGCATATCCATAAATTAAACAATATAAAAACTGGCATATCCATATAATCAATCTTTCATTTATTGTTCTTTTAATCTGAAAGCGGTAGGATATATTACAACAAAACGTAATTCTGAGTTGCCATTTTAGTGCATGTGGTAAAAACCCATATACAGAAAATGCAAACACATCTTACTATCCTGCTGTTCTGACCTTTTCCTATGTTCGAAAGTTGGTCTTACCACCTATGAGTAAGCCAGCTTCATACACTTGTAAAAACTATCTGATCGCATCGTAAAACCTGGTCTTTTCACATAATTAATTACAGTTTTACACATAAGAAAACCGCACCTCTTTTCCAGTGTCTACTATGTATCATATTATCTACCTATTTCTCACAGGTGAAATTAGAGGTTTTTTGCAGTGGTAAGTATGTAATTTTATACATATATATATACAATATATTCATGCATTATTTTATATACAGACCTATATCAGTACTGAATAAAATTTTAAGATTCTGCCAAATCAAGACATCAACTTCTTTAACATTCTTACACTAGTTTGTCTATATTCACTTAAAACCCCATGTTTGAAAACATATATATACTAAGATATGGCTCTTAAAAAAATAAAAAGTAAATTTATTAAAAAAATTGATAATGTGTTGACCCTCCATGAGCCTTCTTCATCTCATGTAAGCGATTAGGCATTGACATGCAATGTGTCTTGCAAACGTCAGCCGAAATATTATTCTATTCTATATGAATAGCCCTCTCCAGCTCATTAAGATTTTTTGGAGAGGGGACTCTGGCCTTCACTTTTCTGGTAAGATATGTCCATAAATTCTCTATGGGGCTGAGATCTGGACTGTTCAGCAGCCATACCATCACTGGGAAGTTCTGATACTTCTTCCACTCTTCTACAAGCTTAGACTTATGACAAGAAGCATTATCTTCTTGGTAGATAAACTCCCCATCATTGTTCTCACTAAGAGATTCCATAAATGAAAAAAGTTTCCTTTTCATTAAGTTCATATATGCATACTGATCAAGCATGTTCTTTATGGTTTTCAATGGGCCAACTCCTCCTGCCCATACACAGCCCCAAACCATAATGAAGCCTCTACTACACTGCAGTCTTGGTCTAATGAACTCTTTTCTGTATTTTTCTTGAGGATACCGCCATACTCTAGTATTGCCATCTCTGCTGAAAAGCATAAACCTTGACTCATTGCTCCAGATGACGCGATCCCATCTCTGATTGGTCTCTCTGGCATGATTAGCAAATGCCAACCGCTTCTTCTTGTGTGCTTTTGATAGCAGTGGCTTGTATACAATTTTACAAGAAGATAATCCAGATCTACGAATAGTTCAACAAATGGTAGACTTGGAGATGGGATGCCCTAGGGTGTCAGACATGAAGGTGATAAGACCCCCAAGTGTTGTCTCACGATTTGTCTTCATCTCATTAATCAAATGATGCTCATCTTGCTCATCCATTATCTTCAAAGTTCCTTTTCGCTTATCAGGAAATGCGGTTTCAGTATGTCTCCATCTATTGATTGTGGAATACATCGTTGCTAGAGGTATATCATTCTTCTCAGAAATTTCAGCAGCAGTGCCATTTACTATAGCACCACCAATTATCAGTCCTTTTTGATAATCTGAAAGCTGCTTTCATTTGAGAAGAGTTTCCTTTTTGTTTTGGTGAGACATGGTGAGATTCGAATGAGGAAAAGCTTTGAAAAAAGAAATAAAAATAATGTAATGGTGATGTCTTGATTTGGCGGAATCTTAAAATTTTATTCAGTACTGATATGGGTCTGTATGTATATAATAATAAAATGGGTGCCTATCATGCTACTTTAAGACAGTATACCCTAATAAAAAAATGTTGTCTCCCACACTTATTTGTTGGGGTTTATACTTTGACCAAAAGGTCGTCTCCCATCTTTGTATGGCTGAGTTTAGAATCTAGTCAAAACGTTGTCTCCCATCTGGAAACGTCATCTCCCAAAAGTCATGACTTTTCATATGTTGTCTGTTAAAAATAAAACCTTTATAATTTGAATTTCTTTATTAAATACGATAATAAGATTATTAAATTTTTTAATGTAATAAATATTACCTCTTTTTGATATTTATTTAAAATAAAAACTAATAAAAACTGCTAAATCTTCTTCAAAAAAGAAAAAACGAGTTACAAAAACGTCTGAGGATAAATATAATATTAATAAATTTCACATATATTAAAAAATGTATCTAATAATTATAAAACAAATATAGCTTATATTTAAAAAACATATCTTAGACAAATTCTGAGTCAATTAGAGTTATTACTAATAACTTGACACTAATATGCTTACTTTTTTATATAATTCTTATATATTGTTATATAGTAAAAAAGCAAAAATAGTATAAAATTATTGTATAAAAATGATAGCTAAAGTCGAGTATTTGTAAAATATACAATTTATTTGGGTCCCATCAACAAATCACATACTTACTGTTACTGATAAGTAATATTTTCACAATTCAACTTAAGACATAAATCATATATTTTTATTTTATGTCATTTAAATGAAAAAGATTATAATCCATATAATTTGCATTTTTTCAAAAACTCTCATAATTGATATAAAGGTAATGAAGCGTTTTATATCTAAGAAAGTTTATATGGCAATTAAGCTAATATATTTTTATAAAATTCATGTTTTTATTTTTTATTTTTTATATTTATTTCTTTTGTAAAAACCCTTTCTATCATTTTCTTACAACATGTACATGAGATATTTTATCAAAAATACAAAAAATTAAAAAATATTCATAAAGAACCAAAAAAAGCTTTTAATTACATATATTCAGATAATATATGAATTCAGTAAAAGTTTCATAGAAAACAAATGAGAAAAAAGTAATCTACAACCAAATACAATATTTTATTTTATTGAAAAATGCAAATTTTTGAGATATTACATTAGTTTTCTCATAATCGACCTTTTCAATTCAACTAAAACTCCTAACATACGTACATATACATTTTTTCCAGAAATTATTGGTGCACAACAAAAATAAATTTGGTGCAAAAATACAAAATTATTTGGTGCAAAAATGGAATGCACTAAACGCACCAAAAAGGTTGAATTTAGCAGAGAAATGGTAAAAAAATTGCACCAAATTTATTTTTATTTTTACACCAAATTTGTTTTTATTTTTGCACCAATAATTTCCAGAAAGAGTGTATCTATACACTACTTGGATCCAAAGTTATAGAGAGACAGTGCTTGAATTGATGAAATAGATAGATGTAAATGCATAATTTAACATATTCGAAGATAGTTTGGCTCGATCTGTGTAACACCATCTGACATTTATGCTTTTTAATTCGCTGGATATAAGTGTAACTCGAAGGGTAAAGTACTTCCCACGAATGATCTCTAGGAAAAAACAAAGCAGAGAGTCATTTAACCCACAAGTGATAGATAGCTTATATTAATACAAAAAAAACAAATTAATAAGGTTTAGAGCATCTTCAGCAGTGAGAGAATTTTTAATTTATCTAAAGTTAAACACCACTAATTTAGCTAAAGAAAAGATCAATTTTCCCAGCAGTTCCATTTATCTTTTTCTTTAAATAAATTTTGAGAGTGTTTTCATCAATAGATTTTATCTTCATATTAAATTTAATAGGAAGATAAAGAAAAGGGACTGTCTTTTATATTTAAAGTGAATTTAATCAAACTGCTGGGAGGACAGACTTTAGCTAAATCTTTAAATTTAATGTAAAAGTGGAGATAAAGTCAACTGCTGAAGATACTCTTATAAAGGTTTAAAAAAGATTGTCTAGCTAATAAAATATAAAAGTAAATAGAGACGTTTGTGAACTAAGATTTGTAGAGTTGTACAATAATTAGCTAAAAAAAGGTTTTTTGAAGTTTTCAAAGTGGATCCATAGAAGGACTGCTCATTGTCTATATAATATATTTGACAAGGCAACTACTAAAATTACAACTAATAATGTATGCTATTGATTCAACTAAACTTTTCGTTGCTTTGACTATAAAACAACTGTAAATTCTATATGTAACTGGAGATTGTATTGCATATATTTTCTCCAAGCCATATGTGATATATAATTAAAGTAAATTGCGTATAAAAATGTATAATCAGACTTTTTCTATGCCATTGTAAGCTTTTATTTGAAAGTTACATTTCTCTATCTATTTCTGCTGTTTAAATAACGTCAGTTTAGAAAAGCAAATAAATGAATATTAGAGGCTACCAATTTGAATAAGGTCTGGTAGAAAATCTACCAAACTTTAATCAAGTTAGTAGAGTAGTGTCTCTATATAGATGTGTATGTAACATTGGGTTTCCATTCTAAGGCAATGAGCTCGTGCAAAAAGTTGAAAATCTGAGTCCACAAACGTCTCTAATGAGTAAATAAATAAGAAAAGATCTAGCTAATAAAGTATAGCTAATAAAGTATAATTAAAAGAGTAAAAAAATAGAAAAGAATATTGAAAAGAAATTATTTTGGAATAAGATCAATTGATTCATCTTTCTGTGAATGGAGAGAGAGCATGGCATTTCTGCGGTCATGCTTATTAAATTCTTTGAACTTATTCCAGTAAGTATCAAAGTTATCATCAATCTTATTTCTGACACAACCTAAAAAAATAATTCAGGAACAGTTGGCCATTTTCTAGAGATATTATGGGAAAGGTCAACTGTTGTCCAGTGATTACTGTTAACATGATTGAAAATCAGAGGTTGTTGTTGTTCGGTTTTGTTGTTTGAAAGGGCAAATGGAAGAAAGGTTGTTGAGGGGATGTTGGGGCTGTCTGAGTAGACGCAGACTGGTTGTGTATATGTGTTTGCAGCTAGTTGAGCACAGTCGGATGTGTTAAACCACATACTGGCATCTGAACATACTGGAATGAAGTTGGTGTTGATGTTGGTGTTGCTGGTGTTGCTATAATCGAGTTGAGAGCCATGTTAAATAATTTTTTCTAGTTGGCTTGTGTCAATGCCAAAGGTATTTGCGTACAATGTTTTGTATTTTGGCAGGGTGGCTAGCATATCCCTTTTTACAGGCAGGAACTTATTTTGATCTTTGTAGATCAAGTGGGCAAGGACCCGAAAACCACATCATCCATCAGCAGTAGGGCTAAACCCACCCTTGACATCATTGATTATCTCATGAGAGACAGGAAAACCAGGCTGAGTTTGACCCTCTTGCCAACAAAGGTGCGATTATCATACTGATAGTCTTCTAGAGCAGTGATGGGTCTTTTGAACCCATTTGTTTTGGGGGGCATCAACTAAAAAGTATATAATTATAAGACAATATTTCTCTTTATGGATTCAATTACACTATAAAATAAGAAAGCATATTACCTAGGTCAAGAAACTCTTGTTTTTGGTGGCATCGACTAAAACAAATATTAGTATTAGTATTAGATTACTTTTAATGAATTCAATCACACTGTAAAATAATAGTGCATTTTACCTGGGTTGAGAGGCTCCTTTTCAATTTGTTTTGTTTTGTTTTTGGTAGCATTGACTAAGAAAGTTGTGTATATATAAGACAAGAGTTCTTCTTATAAACTCAATTAAATTTTAAATTAAAAACGCATTTTATCTGAGTAGAGAGGCTCTTTTTTGATTTTTTTAATATTTTGTTTTGTTTTCTTGTGACTTTAAGGCCAGATAAACTCTTTTCAACCATCTTTGTAACCTTTCATTGGTACATTGCCTCAATCACGGCCTATAATTCCATTAAGGTCATTAGTTTTATCCTATGTTTAATATAAGTAAATCACAAAACTTATAGTTCCAGCCAAGATACTTGTCTTTCTCCACATTGGGTAACCAAAGTCCTTTGGCAAGTATTTAGGACGGCTGCTGCCTTTGCAACTTCCTGGATACTTAACATTCTCTGGCACTTGCAGTTTGATAGAAGAATAACCATTTTTGTCATCAAAGTCATTTACAGCTTTTTCACTTTTTTTAAAAGATCAGCAACTTGCTGGCTGCCTTTGCAAGAGCAGAATAAAGCTTCAAGCTTAATGATTTCACTCATCCACTGCTTGGGTTTTTCGATGACAAGAACTTGCATATTTAGCTGATCCCGTGCCTTGTCTTCCTTTCTAGCATCAATAACCCATCTGTCTGGTAGATCAGAGATCTGAAAACCTCTTTCGACTGGTAGGGTATGATGACAAGGTAGGCCATATCAAACTTTGTTTATGCAATAGCACTTCTTATCATTTTATGGTAAATGGAGCTCCTGGTCAAGTACAAGCAACACTCGCTTTGACACCTTCATGAAAAGATATGAGAGACGTTGGTTTCGTCTAATAAGAGCATCAATCGTGTTTGTTTCTCTTATTCTTGTTGCTCAGAAATCTATCTCTAGCCTTTCAATGTATTTGGCCACACTCTCAAAGGCCAACCCAGAGAAGAAATAACAGAGATGCCTCTCTTAAAAGCTTGATGAGCATTTTCTACTTGCTGAGTGGTGGTACACCCAAAATGCATAAGCTTGCTAGTGATATACCCTGCCCACTTATCCTTGCAATGCAACCACCTTTCAGAGAAGTAGGTAAATGCCGGTGCTCTGGTCTTGCCATCATCTACTTCTAGTCCAGCACAAGTGTTGTTAAACTTTAGGAGAGCCAAGTTAAACTCCACCTTAGTTCTACTATGGATCATGTGGCTTATATGATCCATAAGCTCTTCTTTCTCAGCTACAGACTTTGTTTTCCCAGAGAAAGTTTTCTCCACACTGTTCAGCATATGCCAGTAGCACAAAAGCTTCTTGTTTTCTGGGAAAACAGTGTCAAGTGCATTCAGCAAAGCAGAACACTTGTCTGTTACAAACAGAATGGTTGATTGCTTGTTCTCAAAAACAAGTGCCTTGATTTGTTCCAAAAATGAAACGTAAGAACCAGTTTGCTCGTTGGAGACCCAGACAAATACAATTGGAAAAGCTTTTAAGGCTTTCCCTCCAAGATTGTGAACACACTCAATGCAAATAAAAGGCATTCCCAAGTTGTTTGTCGAGTATGTTGCATCCACCACAATAACTTTAGAGAGTTTCTGGGCTCTTTCCAACATTTTGGGGTGGCTAAACAGAATTCTCTTGAGGCACCCACTCTTATTAGTCTCATAGTGAGCTTGGTAACCCTTCAACTCCATAGCTTTGATGAGCTTTGTTCTATCATCCTGAAGAGTAGGGGCAGAAACACAAGCATATGCTGCCTTCATGTTATCAATGTCTTTAATGTCCAACTTATGGTCAGAGTATGCTTCTTTATTGATTGCTTTTTGAATCTCACGAGTCTTGGTATTTGTCTCGATAAGCTTTGTTATCATTATAGAATCTTCTGTTGTAACTCTTGAGAGTCTGCCCTTCAAAATAAACTCCATATATTCATCGTCAAGGAGATGATTGTGAAAGGCTTGGATCTCATGAGTGGCCTCCAAGAGAAAGTATATTTTGGCTGCCTTCTTGTAGGATACCTTAAGGAGATATAGGCACCCAATCATTCCACTAGAAGGAATTTTCTTATGGTTGTTGTCGTCAATCTTTTGGGTGTTTTTATAGTGACCACCACTGGAAAAATAACAATAAATACACACCGGGAAATTCAGGCATACTATTGTGAATATTCTGCATTTTACAGTGGGGTTTTGCCTATTTCCACTGATACCAAAGCTGATCTGGTTACATGTGCACAGACCTGCTATCTACAAGTGTAAAGTTCGATAGCACTAGTGAAGTTGGAGTCAATAGTAATTTTATATCTTTGTATATAATAGAGTACCAAGAAAACTTTATTTCAAACTTTGTTTTTTTGCTGTAATACAATCTGTTTCCATGTTAAAGGTTAATAATCAGGGACTACGTCGCATGTGTATTGTTGAAATATCCCTGGGTGAATAGTTAGAACCATGGACATTTTATTGCTTATAAGCCAATCAGTAACACTCTTTATTATGAGGTCATAGATTATCTGCTCCCCAATTACTTGATACTCAATTATTATTGGTTTGAATTATAGTTTATTTTTGTATTTATTAGAAAAAATAGAATGATTCTAGATTGATAGTATTGGAATAATATTATATGCCTCGGGCCGTCTTCACCGGTATCCTTCATATGACTCAAATCAAGCAGTGCTTTATATATAATGTTTGTAAACCCTCATATTCAGTAGTTATCTTTGGCACAGATAATATTTAACATAATAGAAGAGAAGTTAGATGTGTATTTAAATATTTACATGTTGTGAGTGATATATTAATTTGAGGATACATACAATATAATGACTGAAGAAGATAAAAATAAAACTTTGAGAGTTCGAGGCATGGCGTCAAGTATAATTTCTTTAACAATGAAAATAATATAGAGAAGTTAGTTTGAGTGAATTGGGTGACAGAATATGTAATGAACGTACCCAAAGAAAGTCAATTTATTTGTAGACCTAGATAGTACTTGTCAAGAGTTGATATAACCTTTAGTAAAAAACATATATTAATATACAGTATAAATAATACTATCATACATATTAAGAGAATAAAAGAAGAAGTCTTACCATGTCAATGATGGCGCCAAGAGATAGAGGTTCTTGATTCATTGCGTGTTTTGCAGATGAACATTCATCTGTAATAAAAATTATATTCTGTCAGATAAATATTAAAAGTAAATAAAAAATAAAATATTACCGTGTTGATGGTCTTGTTTAATCGTAGGGAATATTTTTGGCGATATTGTCTATAAAAAAGGAGAAAAGTCAGAATAATTTTATAGGATGATGACATGAAGTATAGTTACTAACCTGGACTAATCCGGATGGCCATTGTAAAGAGAATACATCAGAAGGAAAAAATACGCTAGTATCTATGACAACTGAAATAATAATTATTATTTAGTTACATTTGAAGAAAAGAATTGCTTTAAAAAAAAGAAGATATGTTACCAAAAAAGTTTGCAAATATAGTAAAACACTAAGAGAGTATATATGTATCTATGACAACAGAATGTGTTAATCTTGTTGTTGTCTGTACAGAAGTATTTTTAAGAAGAATGTATCTTACCAGTAAAATTCACAGTTATAACAAAAATCAGAAAGAGAAAGAAAAGAAAAGAAAATGGTCAATAAGGAAAAATATGGAAAAATATGGAAAAATAAAAAAAAATAAGTAAATAAAATACAAAAAAAAACAAAATAGGTAATTAAAAAAAATGAAACTCAAAAAAAATATCCAAAAAGCATAATAGATATAATGGTGTAGTATCTAAAAGCAATCTTTGTATCAATTTACACAGTGTGTGTACAAGAAGTTACTTTAGATATATTCTTTTTACCAAGATCAATCAAGACTAGACATCCTTTTTTTTGGAAATATAAATATACGTTGTTGCTACAATCTTACTCACCCTTGCTCACGCACTCTTACAATTATTCTTACTTATACTCACACTTTCTCTCTCTATCTCCCCATCTTTTTCTGTCTTTTATTTTGGTATGTTTGATAATAAATATAATCGTAGTGTATAATAGAAATTTATTCAAAGAATATAAAAGCATTAACAGTTAATACATATTTGAACTTATATTTTTAAATTAATAGAATATGTCTAACCAAAATGAAAGCTATCCCACTCGACGCACTCCTGCTGAGAGAGAGATGACAAACTCTCTTGCCATCTTGCATCGTGACATGACTACTGTCATGAAAGACGTTGCTGATATCAAAGCAAAAACTTCGAATACTCCTGTGTCTGCTGTTTTGCAGAGTCAGCTGATGGCTTTAGTGCATGCTGTTGCTCCTGTGAGCATGGAAATGAATGTAGCTGGTTCTCCCACCATGGCTTCTGATGCAAAATCAGTCAACAAAACAAAAGCCTATGTATGTATCATACATATAGTAAATTATATCTTTAATAACTTACCAAGATTCAATAGAGACTTCTTTGGGAGCATTTGTGGGACCCTAAGTTCAAACCAAAACATTTGGCTGAAATTCAAGCCAACAATGGCAAGCCAAGGTGGAACACGGTTGCCAACTTCAACCAGTCACCAAACACTGAGTTGACAGAAAACCTCGTTGCCTACTTGGAAAGAAATTTTGTAGGAGCAGGACTGAGAAAAAGTGATGTTCGTGACTTTGTCTACACGAACTTCACTAGCAGAAAGCGTGCAGCTAATAAGTCTCAGGCTAAAAAGAAGTCAGACAATGCTTGCAACAGAAGGAGTAGCCGCGAAAAGGAGGTAAGTTATACTTTATTTATTTATTATTTGAATAATTCTTATCTAAGTCATTAATTTAAAGCAAAAAAAGAAAACTAATTTAATATTTTCAACAGCACTTGAAACGTCGCAAAACAGCGTACCAGTCTAACAAGACTGCTATTGATGACGAGATGAAAAGAGATTGCTCTGGTCTCATTATAGAAGAGGCTATGTCTGTTGGTGAGTCAGACGATGGCACTTCGCCTCATGTTTTTTATAGTGGGCTTCGTCTTCGTCGTCCAGATTGGAGAAGTGATGAGGTACTTAGTTTTTTGAAAGTTGAAATATTTAATTTAGTTAATATATTATATTGTATTATACTGAATAAAATATTAATGTCTTTAATATAGTACAACCACTTTATCACACTTGTTGACAACAAAGTGGTAGCTGATTTAGGCTTAAATAGCCATCAATTGCTGTCACGTACTTTTGGCGAAACTGTTGAAGGACCAGTCCCTGATGCAATTGCATCACAGTTTTCTCAGTGGGCTCTTAGAAATGGGCCCTAAATAAAGTTTATATTTTTTGTTCTTTTTTTCTTCATTCATAACGTCTTATACTTTAAATAACCAAAAAAATGCATAAAGAGGCATTACTTGTTCTTTGTTTTTTATTTAATTATTCTCGTAAAAAATCATAGTGCATAATTATTCATAAAGGCTTCAGGCATAGTATTTTTTTGGCATAGGAATGACCAGCATTCTTTCTTCGTTCATATCAGTTACATCTACAGCAGTTGCGACCTCTAAGTGTATGCGATGTACAGGCAAGATGCTGTGATAATTATCAGCAGAGAATTCTGGCAAGCAGATTGCAATACCTTCATCTCTGTGTTCATTGTCATTTGTCGAATTATACCATCGGATGTATGCAAAAAAAATGCTGGTCTTGATGTAATGTTGATGCTCGGTGGTTTGGATGAGGAGGCAGAGTAAATGAATGTATAAAAAGATACTGACTTTGTCCGGTATATAGGCTTGAAGTTCAGCCATTGCTGCTACGGAAGAAAGCTTGAACAAGTGACCCGCGCTTACCAGAACTGTTGTTCCCAATATATGTTTGGCCAAGGAGATCAATTGATTTCAATTTTGTGATTCGGTTATTTACAAAATATTGTGACAATCTGGCATCGTGGTAAGATATGAGATTGGGCATGGCATAGGCGATTTTATAATAATCTAACAATTGAGGATAATCAATATCACTCATTGTTGATTCTTTTAAGGACTGTAAAGGAAAGGTGGATGGAGGGAGTGGTTCATTGCCTTTGATAGGTGCTGCTTGACTTAAGGATGAGTCTACAAATTGTTGCAGTCAGAAAGGTTGTTGGTTGGTTGGAGCATAAGTGGCATAGGTCGTTATAGGTGCGGTCATAGAGGTAAGTTTTTCAAAAAGAGGAAGGAATGGAATGAGGCTTGGACATGATAACGTATTTCGTACATAATCAGCTTTGTATACGTCTGCAGTGAATTTTGTCATATAGGTTGTTTCAAACCCTTCTTTTCTGTTTGTCTTGTTATTCTTTAACAAACCATTGTATCTCTCAAAACCAAAGAGCCAATAGCCATACACGGGTCCAAAATCACGAATTGTGTCATGAAGATGGAGGTGCAGGTGCATGTTGCAGGTGAGAACTTTTGGTTCATATGTATCTTCACAAGATTGACAGAATTCTTGTAGATATCTGTGTGCTTGGTCTATTTCGATGAAACTGATTGACGGCTTTACAAGTATATGGCATGCTTTTACATAGTGCATCCAGCCATTGAACATATTGGACGGAAGAACTGGTTTTAGAAGCACGGGAGAGTACATCAATACCCAAAACTTCCACTCATCTGCTTTCATGTGGGAAAAGCCCTTTCCTATCTTCGTTTTCAGCTTGGTATAGTCGCTGGGCAATATCATTGTTGCTGCAACTGTCTGCATTGCAAGCAGATCATTGTTTTTCATTTTTTTGGTTTTTGTCCATGTTTCAATCATTCTCTTTGGTGTTCCCAGAAAAAGATTATGCATGGGATCAATGATCGTTCCACGTACTAGATCAAAGTATCCAAGACGATACAACTGCAACCATCGAACACCATATTCGACCTCCAGCTGCTGCCTTTCTGAGGGTGTACTCGCACTATTCCACTCCTCAGCATGCACACGGTTTGCTCTATCACTTCGATGGCGCCACTGGTCACAATCAAATCCACGGAAATCGACAGAAGAAGTGCCTGGTAGATGAGAAAATTGATTGTCGCATTTGTAACAGGTGCATGTGCTGTTGTGCGCGGTGAACCCACTAGTCTTTCTGGCAGCAGATATATCGCATGCAACCATCAATAAGGCTGCACGAACTGTTGCACCGTCTGTTTGCTGGTAGGTGGGTATCTGTATTCCAAGATAGAGCTGTATCATTTCGTTGACTAATGGCTTGAGATAATGATTGATCTCTTCTGATTTTGGCTCTTTTGGTCCGGGCATGAGGCCAACAAGGATTGTATTTTCTGCCTTAAAGCGCTCACTTCTAGGCAGGTTGTTAATCACCAGGTAGATAGCACCGCAGGAATAGCTAGTACCATCGAAAGGCTGGAACCAGTCGATGTTTAATGTCAGCATAAATGAACGAGGATGCTCAACAAAAATTTCATCGTCATTGTCCTTCAAATCATTCCAGGCTTCACCATTGTAAACATCACACAATGTATCAGTGATCTTGAATTCTTGGTTCCAGTGCATGATCTTTTGCTCGAAATCGGGACGGAGGAAAAGAATTTTAAGAGCACGTGTGAGAGAATGATATACATAAGACTTCTTTGCGACCAAACCACCAGACAATGATTGGACCATTAATTTGCAATTACAGATGGTATATGCACCAAGCTTTACGAAATCACAATTCAAAGGAGCAGGTACACTTTCCTCATACACCTTGTGGCAATCCTGACATACGACAAATCTCTTAATCCCTTTTGTCATGGCTGAGAATCCTGTCATGCTTTGGAGACCAGAAAGACTCATGGGCAATTGGAAATCCTGCTCGTAAATCGACAAGAGCTTGTTGATGAACTCGATCTAGACAACAGCGCCCTTATTGACCACATAGCAGGAAGCAAACATTACCACAAAAGTAGCAATGAACCTGTGTACCGGATTTTCAGGCATATTTGGGGTGGCAAAAGGATCTATTGTAAAAAAAAACAAAAAAAATTAACACCCCCCCTTTTTTCATATTTTTCTTTTTTGGTTCTTTTCCTTGAATTTTTTTGGGTCTTTTTTTATTAGTTAATTAACACGGACTGACCTTCAGTATCGAATTCTTTGACTTCAATCTCAACAATATTCTCTTCATTGTCTTCACTTTCTTCACCACCATTGCTTTCTTCATCATTGTCATTTTCATCACCATCACTGCTTTCGCCATTCGACTCATTGCTAAAAGCAACCCCATCGTCAGAAATTGGGGCTCCTTCCCAAACAGGCGAGTTGGTCTGACCGCCCATTGCTTCCATGGGTCCAGTTTGTTGGTTTGATGTAGCTACATATAGAATTCAATTTTTAGTTTACTTCTCTTTTTATCACAATTAACGTTTCTTACTTTCAAAATCAATATCCATGAGATTTCTTTGAACAGATACATCTATTGAAATAAAACATTATATAAAATAACCAAAATGAAAATGAAAATGAAAAACAAAACATACTTCTTTCACTTCTTTCCATGTCTTCATATCTTGCTCTTTTATTGTGACGCTGGAGGGTTTGTGTAGAAACAAAGCTGTAGCCTTATTGATTATCACTGCATTTTGTGCAATAACACTTCTTATTATAAAGTTCAGAAGTAGAGGACATAGTGTTTATTTTGATATAAATGTTAAGATAAAAGGGAAACAAGTGTTACATTTACTTTATTTGTTCAAACTTTATAATAATAATAATAACGATAAAATAACTTAGATGGTTATTATATCTGAGCCAATAGAAAATTACAACATGACTTTATAAACATATACACCAAAAAACATGCTGAGATGAAAAATTGCTCTAAATATCCATATGTAACCATGAACCTTCACACAAGGGTATTCAGGATCATTTCTCCAGTGCACCCTAAGAACACTTCAAGTAAACTCGAGCTGGTTTACTATCTTTGATGACAAGTACAAAGTTGTTGGCAAGGGCATATTCTTGCATCTTTGCAATTGCCAGCTGCATGTCATTATAAGCATTAACTGGTGCGATGAGGAGAGGTTATTGGACAGGAAAATGTTCTTTTCCATTAAAACACGGATTTCTTTATTGATAGGGCTCATATTGAAATAAATTCTAGAAAGTACTTATTAACATTGTAATTTCTAGTTGCTAATCTGCAATAAGCAAAGTAATGTCTTTGATATCTCTGAGAAAAACATTATTCTCTAATATATTTGATTAGTAAGTTCTTACAAGATGAGTAAATAATAGAAAAGAAGGTTTTATAATCAAATATTGAATTAACAATTTCAGGACACACCATTTTGCCCTGAAGGATTGGAGAGAAGACATTGGGCCCCGGACAGATAGTCACAATCAATTAGTGGGATAAAGTCAAAATGTTGTCTCTCATCCTGAAAATGTTGTTTCTCTAGAATTGCTGAAATTGATAATCTTTCTTCTCTTTATTTTACTCATTCGATATTCATACCCTAATCTTTTCCAATCTTCTTTTTCATTTCTGTCACTCCTGAACTCTGTTCTTTGAGTTACATTTTGTAATTATAGTCAAAGCTCGATTTAGTAATACTTTTAGAAGAAGCCAAATTGTATTACTATTACTAAATCAAATGGATTTTTTCTTACTCCGCATATGTTTTTTAGCAATATTGCAGGTTTGCTCTATGTGACTGCGAATAAAAGTGCTGAAAAAAATATTACTAAATCGCAATCATTACTAAATCAAATATTACTAAATCGAGTTTTGACTGTATTCTATTCAAATCGATTTGTACTTTTAGCAATTTAATTTATAATTGATTCTACATTAGATCTTTACATAAAGAATAGTAATTTTCTTAATTTGCAAAAAGTAATATAATAGTCTTACTGCATTTCAGAATCACTGTTTGTTAAATACAATAATAAATTTTACTTTTAATTATTCATATTTTTTTTATTAATAGAATATACTTTATTTTCTTTCAAAAAATAATGAGCTAAGCATAATTATTGTTATTGTCATAAAACAATATTGTATATAGCTAGTGTTTGTTATTACCAGTTTGTTTTTTTTGAAGTAAGCATATTTAACAGTATAAGATAAGAACTTTGTTTGCAGCTATCAGCTTTTGTAATATCTGGAAAGAATAGATTAAGAAATATTGGGAAGGGTACTAGTTGCTTTCATAAAACTAGACCAAAAATTACAACATGAAGACTAAAGGCAAGGGTGAACAGAAAGATTTGGTTCAGTCAAAGATAAATAAATAAATATTGTTATTATTTGAATTGTTATAGAAAGCTAGCAATGATATTTCTCTTGCAAGTAATAGACTACGTTAATAAAATGTTATGATTGAATAAGTATATGATCAATAAGATACACGACAGGAAAAAAAGAGATGCCCCAGGAGTTCACTGGGGGTCTGCCCAGGGGGCCGCCCAGAAGGGTGAAGTTGACTTACCCACTTTTTCACCTCCTGCCTGTTATGGATTAGTTTATAACTGTGCTCTTTAACAAATAATCGCCAGAGAAATTTCTTGTATAAGAATATAGATGTACCTTACATGCCCATATATAGACACAATTATCTGCAATAAATTCTGGTCAAAATAAATCACAGATTTAAAAATGCGTTTTCAAAAAAAAATGCTTCAAAAAAATTGTGTTTCAAATAAATTGGTTTTTATTTTTTGTTTCAAAGTAGAAAAAAATGCTAACCTATAGCTACACCATATAATTTATGAGCAGAAGTATATAATAAATTAAGTCTAGTTATTGTAAGCTAAAGATAAGATCATGGAGTCTATATCCCTTATAATTCTTAAAGATAAAAGCACCAAAGAGCTACCTTGATAGTGGAATAAAAGAGCAGCACTACGGCAGAGAAAATGGTAACATGTTATCACTTTGATAACATAACTGCCATTTTTTACATGGTAAAAAATGGCAGTTATTTATTATGTAAAAAGCCAAAACAGGCACTGTTACCATTTTTCAAAAAAAAAATCAAGCGTCCTTCCTTTCCTCTATTACATTCTTTCTTTTGTTCTATTGCTTTCAATTCTAGCACAACCTCTTGTTTTTCCTTTGCAGCTTTAACAGAATGGTCTGTTTTTTATTATACAATATTGAATCGGGTTTAATTGAATTGAATTTTTATTTCAATGCATGTTTTATTAAATGAAAATGATAATAATAATAGTAATAATGAAAAAACAATTCCATCGGCCACTCGCAATAAAAAATGGTTCTGTTTAGCTACTGCAAAACGTATGCAGTAAAACACTACTATTCAAATTTTATTTCATATACTTTGGGTATTCTAATATATCTTAGATAGCACTTATTATTTTTTACCGATTTCTACAAATATACTAATATTGGAGAAAAAACTTAAAATAAATAAATAGATATAATATTATTATAATGCTTACCTTCATATAATATGCTTACTTGTTCAGTAAAATAAGCATTTACTCTAAGAATATATATATATATATTAAAGAATGTATTAATATTTAAGATTTATATATAAGAAAAGCAATAAAACATAAGCACTATAGAAAGTCGTTATCATAGAAGAAGAAAAACTTGAGCAAAGATTCAAGTCATGTAACATGAAGCTAATTCGAATCTGATTCATACAACTGGAATAAGCATCTTGTTAGAAAGCTCAAAGTGTTTATTCTACTCAATATACTTACATATAATAGAACGACTCCCAAGTATAATATATCAGTACAAAAATATTACTATTAATTTTTTTCTCAAAAAAAGGCTATATACTATTTCCTTTTATATTTGAATGTAGTGGAATTGTAGATGCTGTACATTAGCTTCAAATTCTTGTAATCACAACATTAGCAATCATATGAAAGAGGTCAATAAATTTTTTATATGAAAGAAAAAAGGAATAAAAAACATAAAAAGAAAAATGACGAGATAAGAAAAAAAAGTACTAAAGACAGACTAAAAAAATCAAACTCAGCCAATCACAGCTGCCAAACTACGATCTTCGGCTTCTCTTGTGAGCAGGCTCAACACTTGCTGTGGGTGGAGGAGACCTACATAAAAGAGTATGAAGTTTATATTAGTTTTGTATTAACAGCGCATGAGAAAAAGCAACAATGGTAACTTACAGCACATCTGCCATTATGGGCGACTCAACATCACCAGTTTCTGACATATCAGGAGAAGAAAGCAAAGAATCACTTATGTCTCGCTGTGTCTATAGCATAATAAAAGGAAACGATGTTGATTAAAGTTTACAATATATAGATTTGTTAATTGATAAACTTACTTTGTTCTTCTCTGCCATTCTTCTCTTGTGTGTCTGGTTGTCGCTCTTGAAGCTTTCCCGAAGAAGGCTTCTTGCACACCACATTCTTTTACATTGGTGGATGTGCAATCCACCATTCTTCGCCAAACTCTCCAAATGCATCATGTAGTATTCCCTGTTTTTCTCTGGGATATTCTTCCATTCTTTTGAGGCCGCAGGATAGTCTTTGTCAATGATATAATGATTTACCGTACGGCCTAATGTTTTGAGATGCAGTCTTTTTACTGTCAAATCATGGTCTGAAAGAGGGACTAATGGGGGCAAAGGCTGCCCTTGTGGAACTTCTTTGCAGCGCGCCTTCCAGTCCTGCTCGTGAAGAATCTGAAGCAACAGATTGTATTTTTGTGCTTCGTTTTTTCCTTTGAACTCACCGCCAGTATTGATTACTTGCTTACCGAGCTGATCAGGGTACTCTGTGAGCTGGGCTCTTTTCACAGACTTGGCAATGCGCTCAAGAGCTACAAAAAATGTATGACAATATTAATAAAGTAAATAAACATCTAAGCACAGAATATATATGACTTACAACTCTGCTCAATAATGCTTTGTTGCATTGTAGTTAGATCTTCCGCACTGACTGCTGGCGCAAATTGATTGCTGAATCGCCTTTGAAGCTCGCGCAATGCTTGCTTGATTTCAGCAAGATCAACCTCAATCTTTTGAATTGAGTTGAGGAGAGTTGTGTTAATATCGGACATGTTTAAGTTTTTTTTTAGCTATAAGCAGTGAGTTAAAAAGAAAAGGTGGTAGTTTAGACAAGTAGAATAAGAGCGATTTGAGTTTGAGAAAGGCAACGATTTATTACAAGCAATTGATAGCTATTTATATGAAAAAGATACAGACAGATGTACAAACAAAACATATAAAAGAAGGGATGCTTATGCACTTGTATGCACCTGTCTGCACCTGTCTGCAGTAGCTCATGTGAACATGATACAGTCTTTTTGTGTCGACACAACAAAACTGTAAGAAATATAAAGATAAAATGAATTAGACTTTAAATCAATATTATATGTATAAATGTTCATACTTTGCACTGTCTGCATATTAAACGTTTTAAAGTATATGATATAATAATATAACTCTATACATATTGCAGATATAGCATGAAATTTGGTTAAAGTTCTCGATGACAAAACCCTGTACCAGTTAAAATTATAACTTTAAATATACTCTACAGTAGCTATATAACATCTGAACATCATATAGTTAATTAGCCCCTTTTTATCAACATTAAAGTAAATGTTATGATACTCAAGTTCATATCATACTTATTATCATTATTGACTAAAACGCGTTTTGATTGATGCTGTCATCAAAGGTAAAAATAATTTTAACTGTCATTACTATTATTTACCAAGGGGCATTTTTGACTGAAACCGTACATTTTTGAAAAAGGTGTGCTTTAACTCACATCAGCACTTTCAATCAACACCCCTTTCGATCAGTAGTGCTTATCTTGATGATGTCAGTAAAAGAGTATCAGACTATAGCCCTCATTATCTATATCTATTTCTTTAAGTTTTATACATAAACAAGAAAATAATGCTATTAGCTAAATATATATTCACTATCTCAAAAATATTATTAGTACAACACAGATAATATAAATATGTCTTTTCTACCAATGTGTTTAGACAGTACTACTTTTTTTTAACTGTTAATTATTAGAAGGCTGTTTTTCTTTGCCTTTGGTATTAGAGAGTAATTGATAATTTATTTAAAAAAAAACATAAATTATTTGGTCATTAATTATCCTAAATATACATATACCTCTTTATAAAGCCCAAAGAATATCTAATTGCTCACAAGTAAAGAGTACGTGTCTGTTTCACCGGTGCTCTTTTAATGGTACCCCCTTGTCAACCAAGAAGTATTTTAACTTACATCATAATTATTAATGAAGAAGAATCTTTCCAACCACGGGAATTATTTACTGACAGGTGTTTCACCTAGCATTGACATTACTGTAATCATTGCTATATCATCATTATGAGAGAGAAAAAGAAAAAGAGCCGCAAGCATTTTGGTTAAAAAATAAAGAGTATATAAAGATGTCTTTTACATTTAATAAATAGCACCAAAATCCTCTTCGCAGCTTTATTTTATATATTACATACGTACCAACCCAACCAATATGTCTTCTTCCAACGCCAGCCAGCAGAGAGATAGAATATCTACACAGCAATACCAATGTGATCAATGTGTCTTGTTTTTTGATAACTACCAGAAGCTGCAAAACCACAAGAGAATTCACAGAGGAGATTCAGCAACAATGACTGAAATTGACCAGTCTATTCTGGATGATGTTGACATGTACCATAACGAAAATGATACTAGTAATGAAGATGAATCTGTTAGCAATTCAGGTAATGAAAAGAGCTGTAATTGTATTATTTATTTTCCAATTACTAAATAATGTATTACAGAATATACTATGGAGTCTATGGAGCTTGATAATACTATTTCATATAAGTGCGCATGTAATTTTGAGGACAGTGAGGGTGAAGCTCACATTTACGACAGCAGCCAAATCAGTACAAATACTTTTACCAAAGCCGAGTTGATGAGTATTCATCTGTCTCAATTGATGCTACAGCATAGAATTGCTAGAGCAGCATATAGAGACATTGTTCAATTTATAAACACTGTCATCCGAGACCATGACGATATAATGATGGGTAAAATATTATATTTTCTGTTACCTTGTACTTTAATTCCAGATCACTAACATGTAGTGATATCGTTTTTTTTTAGAACCTGGGGCTAAGATCAGTCATGGCGAAACTGTTGATGCTTTGCTCAAGTCAAAGTCAAGTGTCAAGGGCCATGAGTATGATGTCTGCTCTAGTGGTTGTCGATTGTATGGCATTAATGACGACCAGGAATCTTGTGTTAACTGCAGCAAACCGCGATACAAGACTGATCCCAATCAAAGTCAGACACCAGCCACCAGTATGAAACTTATGTCAGTTGGGGATATGCTTTCTCAAATGTTGGCAGATCCAGCCACAAGAGAACTCCTCTGTTACAGAGCAAACCAGGAATCTGTAGCTGGTCAGCTAACCGACATTTTTGATGGTGACAATTACAAGCAGTTGGTGCAGCAGGGCCTGTTCTCCAATCCCGATGATATTGCCATTGAGCTTTATACCAATGGGTTTGTCAATCAAAAGAAAGGCAAAAACTCATATACCATCATCCATTGCATAATATTCAACCTAGACCCATCCATCAGGTAATTAATTAATTTATTACTATTTATTATTATTATTACAATTTTTTTAAAAAAAAATTACTAATAAAATACTTAGATATACCAACAAATACCTTTTGCAACTGGCAATCTTGCCTGACCCCAAGAAGCCAACTCATTTGGACTCCTTTCTTATACCCATCATCAATGAATTGCGAGATCTTGAGGCACATGGCTTGGTTGTCAAGCACAATGGAGTGGAGCTTTGCAGATTCAAGGTCTATCTTCTGCTTGCTTCTGGCGATATTCCAGCTGTAGCTGATATGGCCCACATTGGTTCCCATACAAGTTTATTTGGGTTGCCGTTTTTGTGAGACCAAAGGCAAATGCCCTACTAACAGACGGCATGGCATGTACTTTGATGACATTTCCGCCCGGTTAAGACCTTTGGAAGACTTCAAAGTAGGCAACCCTGTAAGTATACAAATGTTCAATTAGCCATCTTTTTTTCATACTAAATAACTGCTTGTAATAGTCGAAGAACATATACCAGCCAAGCATATATACCCAACTCTCAACCTTCTCTGGATCATCATTTTTTGCATTAGATGAACTTCATTTAATTGCAAGAGGGATTGGAAAGCTTGTGTATGACCTGATTACCATCACCCTCACAAAGGAAACCAAATTTTATTATACCCATCCAGACAATACCCTCAATACCACTGAATACCCTTTTCATATACCAAGAGCAGACCTTGTAACAATCGGAAACTGTATCACCAGCTCACGAAAATATATACCCACCTCATTTCAAGGCAGTTTTGACAACGTATTTGCCAAGATCGATGGTACTCACGCAGTGGACTGGCTTGACTTTCTCTTATACCTTGTCCCCACTTTGGTCGTGCCTTATTTACCAAATAGGGCTGTCAAAACAGCTCTATTATCTCTCATGAAAGGTTGCGCGCTTGCCTTGCAATGGACGTTGACATCAGAATTGCTTGATGAGATGGAGTCGTAAGTTATTATACGTCTCATATATTATCATTACAAATAGCTGATTGTTACCATTTTTTAAATATTAATAATAGATACTTCAAGCACTGGCACTCGTTTTTATACCAACAAGTCCAGAATAATACCCTGTCTCGTAGTGTTTTCCGACCAGTGCAACATTACCTGGTCCATATACCCTATATCATCAAGCAGCAAGGCCCCCTGCGATGCTACTCCACTCGCTCAATGGAGAGAGTAATTGGCGTCTTCTTGAAATTGATAAAGTCCAAATCAAAGGGTGGCCAAAACGCCAGTTTTCTCATTGAGCAATTTGCGATTCACAATTATACCAGCACGGCAATCAGCATCTGTGATGAAATCAACCTCATTTGGCCAAAGCCATATGGAAGAGAGAGCTACATGGACCTTCCTAATGATCCTAGTGGTGCGCAGTTGTGGGAGCCATTTCATCAGTTTGTTAATTTGAATGATGATTCGGTGGAAGGTGTAGGCGGCCCTAGTGTGAAGGAAGCTTTATTGAAATACTACCGGAGAACAACAGGCTTGACTGGCCACGAGTTTGGTGACTCTGTTGTTGTTGTAGCTGCACGTCTGTGAATGGACTCGACTGTATATTCCTCATGCATGTACCAAAGAAAGAAAAACGAGACCAGCCGTGGCAACCATTACGTGATGTTTACTTGCCCCTATAGAAAGTAAGTATAATATTTTTTGATATACAATCAAAAGTTGCTTACATTCTATTTATTTATTTATTTTAGCAACCGTAATGTAATTGTTCACAGCTGGCTCGTCGGTACAGTACAGTTCTACTTTCAGCATGTAGATTTCTATGGCTTCCCACACTTTCTTGCTTTTGTGGAGGTCATGAAGGAACATGACACGGCTGGTCATGACTCATCAGTACCTATCGTCAAACAACGGTCACAAAGCACCTGTACACTAGGCCACCAAACGCAACCAACTTATGCAGTTATAAGTGTAAATGACATTTGTCATCAAGTTGGTCTGGTCCAATACCCACCGAATGGAAACCAGTTTTATGTAATCGCGCCCTATTATATCTTTAACAACAACATGCGCATTACTAAAGGCAATCTTTCCATTCTGTAATCCTTTTTATTTTTATCTTATTTTTCTATATGCTCTATATCCTTATATCTTTTATATTTTTTATATCATCCTTGTATCTTATATTCTTTTTTTAATTTTCTCTATTTCTTATGTTTTTTTTAATCTCTATATGCCCCGTCTTTCTTTTCTTCTTTATATACTCCGGTTTTTTTTCTATTCTCTATACACCTTATGCTTTTCTCTTCATTCCCTATATGCTCTATATGCCATTACGCGATTTAAATAAAATCAAATTGCCAATTCATCAAGATAAAAAGAATATCTAAAAAAAAAAGAACGTAGTTTAAAAAATAAAAAAATGGCAGTTATGTTACCATTTCATTCACACATTCCAAAAATTATTAATCTTAATAATTGTTGACATCTTTGATATTCAATAAAACATATATTTCAATACTCAAAGTGGTCATTACAACTTACAAACGTTTTTTACAGTATTGAAAATATTGTACAGCAACAAAAAAAGTGTTTTCATGTTACTTTTTTAAATTGCTATGAATGACATTACCATCTTACAACAAACGGCGAAGATTTTATTGGGTTTCAACCAAAAAAATGGCAGTTATGTGCCTACTTTCGGCCCAACTGCCATTCATCCCGCCGTAGTGTTTAAAGATTTTTATACTTTGGTGATACCTCTTTAGATATTTATTACATTAAGAGCATCCACAGTGGTCTGTGTAAATTTAACAAGAATGTTAATTTAACTAGAAAATTTAGATTTTTTCATTCTCAGTGAATTGCTTAACTAAAAGTTTTAACTTATTATTTCTTATTAATAATTACTGGCTATTTAAATTTAACAATTCACAAAAACATCCAGAGCTTTTTTACATACACTGCTAATTTTACTCAGACTGTTGTGTATAGTCTAAATTATCTCTTTTAAATGCGGCTTTTTAATTTCCAAAATTATTTTAGTTACACATACCACTGTAGATGCTCTAAGAATTTGTATGTTTTTATATTGAAGATTATATTTTATTAACTTTTTTAAATATATTGAATTAAATATTTTACATATATAAATAAAAAACTATTGACATGAGTAGAAAGAGAATTCTATTCTGTATAATTATATTTAGTTTGTTTTTTTATAAATAATATTTCACTAAATGTTCAGCTCATTTAAAGATTTTTATACTTTGGTCTACTTCTTTAAGTACACATTACATTCAGAATTTATATACTTTTAATATTACTACAAAAATTTTGAAAATATATATTTTGTACAAAATAATAAAAACAGTTGAGATATATTATTAAAGATATATCTTATACATAAGTATAAAAATAAATTTTATAGTAAAAATTATAAAGCAAAGTATTCAAACTGTCCATAACAGCTGAACTGGAGAAAGATGTTTAAAGACATATTTACATTATATATTATCATAAATGAGTATTGACTACTGCTGTAATTGAGAATAGGTCTGGAGGAAATAATATAAGTCCTCAGCTATTCTAATCAAAAATGTCTACTAATTGCTTTATTATTCAATACATAGCTTTAAAATACATGATAGTGATTGTATTTCATATGATTATAACACTATAATATGAGACACATTAGTGAATTATTATAAGTATAATTATAGCTCATAAACACATTTACTTTTGATGTTAATACTTCATTGAAACTACACACATTTGTATAAATAATTATACATTAATTATTTCAAGATCATGTTGCTCAGATTAAGACTCAGATAGGATCGATTATCTGACTCTGTTCATATAATTTTCCCAGTTCAAAATAATAAAAATAGCAGTAGTAGTTCAGTATAGAAACCTTGTCAAATTTTGATATCAAATATTCTCTCAATAAACAAACTTTATACAAGTTTTCACAAATGTTTGTTTCTCATTTTCAAATCTTAAATTCTTCTTAACAACTTCTTTTAAAAATTCAATCACCACAACACAGGTAATTTAAAATCATAATTTTTACAAGATTTTTATTATTGTGAATTTTCTTTAAAATACTACTAAAATTCATTTTTTTTTCATCTAATTTTGAAGAAAGATAAAAACAAATTATAAAAAGAAGATAAGCTAGCAATCTATATTGATAGAGAAAAGTCTTGTAAATCTTGTTATATTTGAACTGTTTATTAGAAGTGATTTCGGTATTTTTTTAACCAGCTTAAAAAAATTAATTTTATTGATATATATGTTAAATTACACTATACTGTTATCAATTTTAAGTGTATATTACCCATTTATACTACCTGTTTATACAATCTCTTCATACTATAGTCAAAGCTCAATTTAGTAATATTATTCTGAGAATTTTTGACCGTTCCCTGCTAATTAGAGACCTTCATGCATTTTGGAAAAGTGCAAATTATTGCTTTATAAGGGAAACTTTTAAAATTTTCCAAATCTAAAAATAAAACAAGTGTAATGTGACAGACAAAAATTAGAAAAGTTCCTCTTACCCTATTCAATATTTGAAAAATTTGAGGTAAAATTTTCTATTTTTTCAGTCAATAATTTTCTATATTTGTTTTCTACTAAACTGCCTTTAAAAATCACTTTAAAAAAAGGAAAAAAATATTTGATTTCTTTCCTTGTAATTTTAGTGATAATTATATGTCCGGTAATATACATAGAAAGTCTCATCTGATCAAAGTGACTCTACTTTAAAAAGTAATTTAGTGTTACTGAAAAAATTATGTAATTTCACTGAGTTTAAATACCATTTTAATTGAGTTAAAGAACCAATTTCTCCTACGTAAAAGGGGTCTTTTAATAGGTTGGAAATATGTATTTAATTATGTAGATGATGTTTTTATTCTTGTGAAATATATCATTTTATGTTCTGCTTAAATTTAGTAGTATTTTTTATTTAGCTCTCAAATACAAAAGAGGTCTAGTGTATATTCTCATCATATTTTGACCATCAGCTCTCAATTGGGGTGTTCAGTCCAGATATGAATGCCAAGTATGGGCCAATCATATCAAGGATTGACAAAATTTTACTCAATTTCTATTGGTCAGATGTCTCAAAATCTGGTGAAATAGAATGCAAAATAGGATGCGAAACAGGTTGCAAAACAGGCTCACAATTATAACCAGACTTTTTGTTTGGTATTTTATATAGATCAAATTTATTATATAATTTTTCAATTTTTGGTTTATTTGATAGAAAAAAAAATGTTTTCTCAATAAATATTGTAATTCACAGTTTCTTCTTCTTTAAACATATATTGAACCATTGGATATTTCTTGTTTGATATCACTGTTCATTTGTTTTCTGAATCAGATATTAAATACTAGATTGAAAGAAGAAAAGCACTTTTTAAGAGCAGTGTCATAAATAATTAGTGAATGAATAGAAGAAAATATAATACACCTGGCTTAGGGTGAAGTTGACTCACTTCCAACTCTGCCATGACTTCTTTCTATGCAAGAAGACCATCCTCTATTTTTCTTTTATTTTAATTCTGTAATCTCTCTAATAAAACAAATCACAATGTCAAAGAACAATAAAGCTAAAACAACCAACTCATATTATAAGACAGCAGATTTCAAAAAAGGAATGATTATTGGAAGATATAAAGAAAGATGTAGCTCCTATAAGATTTCAGACGCAGAAGGCATACCCCAATCAACTGTTTATCATATAGTTAAAAAATACAAGACAAAGAAGACATGCGCTGAGAAGGAGAATCCTGGGTTCTCTAAGAAGCTATCACCATGGGCAATTCGTTATTTGAAGTTTACTACAAAAAAAATAGATGTGTCACATTAGCTTGTTAGGAGCAGATGCTCTAACAGTCACAGCACCTACATAGCTAAATCTATCTATTATAACTATCTTAACATATCATATTCTCACATCACTTATATAATCCCCAAATATTGATCATTGGGACTATCCTCAATAATAACATTATTCAACACTTATATAGCAATTAGCAATTAACAAATAGTATAAATATCATTCAAAATATCAATCAATAAAGACTATCTTTTTCTTACTATTGAATTCTCTTCTCTTGCTATTTGTATCTCCGCTATGCCACGTCTGGCACACAACAAGCTACCATCACGTGCAGTGTTAAAGAGATGCATGACATCTCAATCAGTCAAGTAATAGTACGCAAATATCTGCACAATATGAACCTTTGCTCTTGTGTTGCTGTAGCCAAGTCTTATCTAGATGAAGCACATAAGAAGGCACACTTGCAATGGGTTAGGGAGAAAAAAAATTGGAATGATGAATGGACATCAGTAATCTGGAGTGATGAGTCCAGATTCACCCTTTTTCAGAAAGGTGGACAGCAATATGTTTGGCGCCAACTGCATGAGAAATATGACAATGACTGTCTGATACCAGCAGTGCAAGGGTTAGATGGTTCAGTATCAGTTTGGGGATATATTTGGGCAGAAGGTGTTGGCCCACTAGTTATATTAGATGACTAGATGACAAAAGAAATGTATATCCAGACACTAAAGACAACTATCTCCCATTTCTTGCTGCTCTTCCTGACAAGAACACCACCACCTACCTTCTCCAAGAAAATAATGCCAAGCCACATAAGAGCAAGTTGGCAGAACAGTGGAAAAAAAGAAACGATGTGGCTATCTTACCATGGCCTGCAAAAAGTCCAGATCTCAATCCGATTGAGAATATCTGGAGCTATCTTGATAACAAGGTTAGAGATAGAAGATCTCAGCCTACCACGCTAAAAGAACTGGAGGTTGCTTTGTTGGAGGAGTGAGCAGAAACCACAGCAAGTACTTATGTGAAGTTCTTCCTGAGCATTCAAGATCATATGATATTAGTTAGGAAGAAGCATGGAGAAGCTATTAACTATTAAACCTCTATCAATTTTTAATATAAATAAGCAACACATATTATAAAATCTTCCATTCATTTTTTGTCTTTAAGAATCATGTCTTTGAGAACTTAGTTAACCTTGAAAAACAGAGGTGTACTTCTTTGATTTTAGTGGAGTTGGAAGTAAGTCAATTTTATCCTAAGCCAGATGTATTTAATATTACTTACAGTGTAATATACATGAGAAAAATAATATTAATAAATACTTTGATATTGCTTAGATACTAAATTGATTTTTTATATTAGTACAGATATCAGAATAGATTATTCTTAGCAATGTATATACTAAAAGAATATATATTAATTAACTTACATATTGTATGGCTAACTATTTTAAATAAAAAATATAGTTAATTAGATAAATTAAAAAAAGCATTTATAGAGATGCATAATAGAAAGAGATGAATTTGGAACAATAAAAAGACTTACTATTATACTTCATTCAGAAATGACTAGTGCAAATGAAAAAGACTAGGAATGACAAAAAAAGAAGAAAAAGATTATTAATAAAGAAGATCTTTAAAGGAGTCTTGTTTTTATCTTGGTATTCAAACTTTGTATAAAAAGATGCATATGTCTTAATTATCAACTACAAAATATTATGAAAGAATACATAAAAAGAGAAAAAAGAAAGAAGTTGGAAATTACTACTTAGAAAATTCTCAGTAAGAAATATGAGCAAAAGAAAGAGATTCAAATAATTAGCAATACGAGTCACTGAATATCAGAAAAATGCACTTGTAAAAAAAACATTAAAAAAAGACTATAATTATCAATATTTTGAAATTAAATAAATTATTAATTTTATTAAAAACAAAGATTTTTTAATTAAACTTTACATAAATTCTCAACCCTTTGACTTTAGGAAAGTAGTGAACAAAATATGTAAAAAATAAACATATATATATTTGCCAAATATTTATTTTTATCTCTTTGTTTCTTTATACAAAATGTCCAACTTCGACTTATCCAACATCTCCCTAAGAAACTTCTTCTACAGCTCAGTCAGCCAAAATGCTGGATTCAACCCTGTTCCTATTGCCCTAAGACCCAATGGTGATGATATTGTTGAGTCAGTCAAAACCGTTGACAACAAGTATTTTGCCTCTATTAAGAGGAAAGTCGATATTTTGAGTCTCCTAGTCCAACAGGGTCTATCTCAAGAAACGATTGGGAGAATAGAAAGAAGCATTGCAGACATAATGGCTTCTCTAGAGACCATCAAAAAAGTCATCAAAGATAGAACTTTGTCGCAGAGACCTCTTCCAGTCAGAGGCTCTGGTGCCCTTACTGAAGGGACATTCAAGTCAGGTCTGAGATGCCCTGAGGTGTTGATAAGTACAGAAAGTAAAATGATTGTGGTATGTATCTAAAATATTGCATAGAGACTGTTGAGAGAGTATCTATAGAACCCCAAGTTTAATAGCACGGACTTATTAATGATGTCTGAAAATGCTGATAAGTCTGGGTGGGACTTGACTGCCAAGTTCACTAGTGTGTTCAACACTGGGCTAGCACTCTCCACCCTTGCGTATCTGGAGCACCAGCCACAGATTGCACTTGTACCAACAAGTGATATTGTCAATATAGTGAGAAATCACTATATTATAGTATATTTTCTTAATAATTGCAAATTTCAAGATTTGTGCCAATTTTTTTATTTCAAATGCCGATATATGAAAATGACATTAAATGTTCGCCAGTTTTTTAAAAAATCCTAAATATTGAACTTTATGCAGTCTTAACTTCATATATTCACAACAAAAGATCTTTTAAACACCGACTAATATATAATATTACTATTTTAGGGGATCAATTCTCATCGTCTGCCATTATAAATGGAAAATATAGTGTCAATATTTCTTTTTCTCTGCTATTAAATTCAAATACCGCTTTTTTTCAAGACCTAAAAAGTGCTGTTGCAAATGACAAAACTAAACATGTTTTCTGTTTACTTTGTAAAGAAACTGTTTCTTAACAAAATAAACAGAAAAGATATTCGGTTTTGTCATTTCTGACAACACTTTTTAGGTCTTGAAAAAAACGATCAGAGTATAATTGTTTTTGTCAATTATAAGAAAAATACACTATACTCAACATCAAGAGTCAAACATGATAGTTGAAAAGAGAAGGGGCAACAATAAGACCAGCAGAAGAAACCAGCGGAAGACTACTGCAAGTTTCTTAAACATGTATAAATATATATATATAGCTCTTCAACCACCACAATGTCACATTTAAAAGGCACAAAGTTGCTCTTGAAAGTTTCATGGGAAATAAAGACTGCAGTTTTGTATTTCAGAAATGCCTAGTGTCCAATGCCAAGTCAGATGGAGAAAATGAGCTAACAGTCCTTAAGCCAAGCTGGAGAAGCAATGAGATAATAATAATTAAAAAATGTTTTATTTTAGAGCCATACTTCATTTACTTATATAATTTGTAACAAATATATAGCTTCAGATACTCTATAAAGAGGTAGACAAATTGAGTAAGAGCAACTTGGGAAAGAAAGGGGACTCTATCAGCAAAAGAAAGAGAGTTGATATTGGAATAGACCCACCAGCAAATCTAGCAGTTGCTTTGCCTGAGTGGGCCATAAAGCAATAAAGAAATTTTTCTTTGTATCATCTTATCTTTAACCAACATAAATTCTTTTGATAGAATTACATAAACATATTTATTTTTGAACTAAGCATATATTTTTCTAAGAATTGATACAATAACTATCTTGACAACTCCTTCTTCATTTACAGGTTCACCAATGGCAGCAGATAATGAGATGCAATGAACTGGCAATATGCAATGAAAGTCGTCTGCAAAGAACTCAAAGTCATTAGTCACAACATCTCTCACTTCTGTTGCGTTCTCAACTGCAGAGTTGTACCATTTTACGTAGACAAAAGTGTGGCAGATTGGTTCATATAGTCTAAGGTCAATGATGTCATTTAAGAATATGTATTGTATTTGACCAGTATACGTTTTGATTGCAGTGCTGTTAGTTCTTATAAATAATGACTGTATAAATGATTCACTTTTGTAAACCTGGCCAAGAAGATTTATGGATGACATCTTTTGAATGATATTGTTTATAAACGGCATATAGGCGACTGCCTCCCAATAATCTCGTAGATTTATATTGGCATATCTTATATGGTAAAAGTTGAGGAGATGGGCATATTCTTGTTCTCTCATAGGTTCATAGTGGCCAAGTTTGAGCAGATAGCAGCTTTGAGTTAATGGCTCGTTACCTCTGATTTGATGCATATTGTTCATAGAGTTAAGGAAAACACTCAAGTTAAAATTTCGTAGCATATTGATTGGTGGCATATTGATTAGTGGCATATTGGTGTTTGTAAGCTCACTCAGTAATGTTTTTTGATTTTCGTTTTTAAGTAGGGGCATAATTGTATGGATGAGATTGGCCTTAGATGTATTTTCCATATATTTCTTCATAAATGTTGCTTCAAAACCATCCTTGCCATTTGTATTATACGCTTTAAGTATAATATTAAAGCGTTCAAAGCTGAATAGCCAATATCCATACGACGGTCCAAAGTTAACCACTGTTTTCTGTATGTGGAGATGTAGATGCATATTCGGGGAGATAAACTGCTCCCCATAATATTCCGCACTCTTTTGGCAAAACAACTGCAAACAAAAATGAGCCTCAGCTAGGTAGCAGTATGTGATGCTGGGCATGGTAAGGTAGCAACAAGCATTGCCAAAGCACATCCAGTAGTCAAAATGCTCTTGTGGAAGACAGCCAAGCAGAATGGCAAGGGAGTATATGAGACACCAGGACTTCCATTCACCAGCCTTCATAAAAGGAAAATTCATTGCGATTTTCTTTCTCAAGGAAGTGAAACCCACAAGAACTTTCAACTTGTCTGCTTCGTCTTGCATGGCGGCTAGATCCCATCTTGGTGATAAGGTTAACCACTCTCCACTTTTCCATGACTCTTTTAGTCGTACCAAGGAAGAGGCTGTGCACAGGATCGATTATGGTGCATTCAACAGTGTTGAAATAAGGAAGATGATGGAGCTTTGACCAGCGGACACCATTTGCTTTCTCCATCCTTTTTTGCTTGGCCTCGTTTCTTGCATTTTTCTATGTGATGGCAAATTGGCGGTTCTCTTCATCCATTCAAACTATCCAGCTGGAGAATAAAAATGCAAAATAGTTCATGCCTCTGTTATTGGGCAGATGAGTGAATCTGCGGTTGCATATGTAATATGCATTGATGCTGGTGTGTGATGTGAACCCACAGGTTTTGTGGGCAGCACTACGGCGGGATGAATGGCAGTTGGGCCGAAAGTAGGCACATAACTGCCATTTTTTTGGTCGAAACCCAATAAAATCTCTGCAGTTTATTGTAAGATGGTAATGTCATTCATAGCAATTTAAAAAAGTAACATGAAAACACTTTTTTTGTTGCTGTACAATATTTTCAATACTGTAAAAAATGTTTGTAAGTTGTAATGACCACTTTGAGTATTGAAATATATGTTTTATTGAATATCAAAGATGTCAACAATTATTAAGATTAATAATTTTTGGAATGTGTGAATGAAATGGTAACATAACTGCCATTTTTTTATTTTTTAAACTACGTTCTTTTTTTTTAGATATTCTTTTTATCTTGATGAATTGGCAATTTGATTTTATTTAAATCGCGTAATGGCATATAGAGCATATAGGGAATGAAGAGAAAAGCATAAGGTGTATAGAGAATAGAAAAAAAACCGGGGTATATAAAGAAGAAAAGAAAGACGGGGCATATAGAGATTAAAAAAAACATAAGAAATAGAGAAAATTAAAAAAAGAATATAAGATACAAGGATGATATAAAAAATATAAAAGATATAAGGATATAGAGCATATAGAAAAATAAGATAAAAATAAAAAGGATTACAGAATGGAAAGATTGCCTTTAGTAATGCACATGTTGTTGTTAAAGATATAATAGGGCGCGATTACATAAAACTGGTTTCCATTCGGTGGGTATTGGACCAGACCAACTTGATGACAAATGTCATTTACACTTATAACTGCATAAGTTGGTTGCGTTTGGTGGCCTAGTGTACGGGTGCTTTGTGACCGTTGTTTGACGATAGGTACTGATGAGTCATGACCAGCCGTGTCATGTTCCTTCATGACCTCCACAAAAGCAAGAAAGTGTGGGAAGCCATAGAAATCTACATGCTGAAAGTAGAACTGTACTGTACCGACGAGCCAGCTGTGAACAATTACATTACAGTTGCTAAAATAAATAAATAAATAGAATGTAAGCAACTTTTGATTGTATATCAAAAAATATTATACTTACTTTCTATAGGGGCAAGTAAACATCACGTAATGGTTGCCACGGCTGGTCTCGTTTTTCTTTCTTTGGTACATGCATGAGGAATATACAGTCGAGTCCATTCACAGACGTGCAGCTACAACAACAACAGAGTCACCAAACTCGTGGCCAGTCAAGCCTGTTGTTCTCCGGTAGTATTTCAATAAAGCTTCCTTCACACTAGGGCCGCCTACACCTTCCACCGAATCATCATTCAAATTAACAAACTGATGAAATGGCTCCCACAACTGCGCACCACTAGGATCATTAGGAAGGTCCATGTAGCTCTCTCTTCCATATGGCTTTGGCCAAATGAGGTTGATTTCATCACAGATGCTGATTGCCGTGCTGGTATAATTGTGAATCGCAAATTGCTCGATGAGAAAACTGGCGTTTTGGCCACCCTTTGATTTGGACTTTATCAATTTCACGAAGACGCCAATTACTCTCTCCATTGAGTGAGTGGAGTAGCATCGCAGGGGGCCTTGCTGCTTGATGATATAGGGTATATGGACCAGGTAATGTTGCACTGGTCGGAAAACACTACGAGACAGGGTATTATTCTGGACTTGTTGGTATAAAAACGAGTGCCAGTGCTTGAAGTATCTATTATTAATATTTAAAAAATAGTAACAATCAGCTATTTGTAATGATAATATATGAGACGTATAATAACTTACGACTCCATCTCATCAAGCAATTCTGATGTCAACGTCCATTGCAAGGCAAGCGCGCAACCTTTCATGAGAGATAATAGAGCTGTTTTGACAGCCCTATTTGGTAAATAAGGCACGACCAAAGTGGGGACAAGGTATAAGAGAAAGTCAAGCCAGTCCACTGCGCGAGTACCATCGATCTTGGCAAATACGTTGTCAAAACTGCCTTGAAATGAGGTGGGTATATATTTTCGTGAGCTGGTGATACAGTTTCCGATTGTTACAAGGTCTGCTCTTGGTATATGAAAAGGGTATTCAGTGGTATTGAGGGTATTGTCTGGATGGGTATAATAAAATTTGGTTTCCTTTGTGAGGGTGACGGTAATCAGGTCATACACAAGCTTTCCAATCCCTCTTGCAATTAAATGAAGTTCATCTAATGCAAAAAATGATGATCCAGAGAAGGTTGAGAGTTGGGTATATATGCTTGGCTGGTATATGTTCTTCGACTATTACAAGCAGTTATTTAGTATGAAAAAAAGATGGCTAATTGAACATTTGTATACTTACAGGGTTGCCTACTTTGAAGTCTTCCAAAGGTCTTAACCGGGCGGAAATGTCATCAAAGTACATGCCATGCCGTCTGTTAGTAGGGCATTTGCCTTTGGTCTCACAAAAACGGCAACCCAAATAAACTTGTATGGGAACCAATGTGGGCCATATCAGCTACAGCTGGAATATCGCCAGAAGCAAGCAGAAGATAGACCTTGAATCTGCAAAGCTCCACTCCATTGTGCTTGACAACCAAGCCATGTGCCTCAAGATCTCGCAATTCATTGATGATGGGTATAAGAAAGGAGTCCAAATGAGTTGGCTTCTTGGGGTCAGGCAAGATTGCCAGTTGCAAAAGGTATTTGTTGGTATATCTAAGTATTTTATTAGTAATTTTTTTTTAAAAAAAATGTAATAATAATAATAAATAGTAATAAATTAATTAATTACCTGATGGATGGGTCTAGGTTGAATATTATGCAATGGATGATGGTATATGAGTTTTTGCCTTTCTTTTGATTGACAAACCCATTGGTATAAAGCTCAATGGCAATATCATCGGGATTGGAGAACAGGCCCTGCTGCACCAACTGCTTGTAATTGTCACCATCAAAAATGTCGGTTAGCTGACCAGCTACAGATTCCTGGTTTGCTCTGTAACAGAGGAGTTCTCTTGTGGCTGGATCTGCCAACATTTGAGAAAGCATATCCCCAACTGACATAAGTTTCATACTGGTGGCTGGTGTCTGACTTTGATTGGGATCAGTCTTGTATCGCGGTTTGCTGCAGTTAACACAAGATTCCTGGTCGTCATTAATGCCATACAATCGACAACCACTAGAGCAGACATCATACTCATGGCCCTTGACACTTGACTTTGACTTGAGCAAAGCATCAACAGTTTCGCCATGACTGATCTTAGCCCCAGGTTCTAAAAAAAACGATATCACTACATGTTAGTGATCTGGAATTAAAGTACAAGGTAACAGAAAATATAATATTTTACCCATCATTATATCGTCATAGTCTCGGATGACAGTGTTTATAAATTGAACAATGTCTCTATATGCTGCTCTAGCAATTCTATGCTGTAGCATCAATTGAGACAGATGAATACTCATCAACTCGGCCTTGGTAAAAGTATTTGTACTGATTCGGCTGCTGTCGTAAATGTGAGCTTCACCCTCACTGTCCTCAAAATTACATGCGCACTTATATGAAATAGTATTATCAAGCTCCATAGACTCCATAGTATATTCTGTAATACATTATTTAGTAATTGGAAAATAAATAATACAATTACAGCTCTTTTCATTACCTGAATTGCTAACAGATTCATCTTCATTACTAGTATCATTTTCGTCATGGTACATGTCAACATCATCCAGAATAGACTGGTCAATTTCAGTCATTGTTACTGAATCTCCTCTGTGAATTCTCTTGTGGTTTTGCAGCTTCTGGTAGTTATCAAAAAACAAGACACATTGATCACATTAGTATTGCTGTGTAGATATTCTATCTCTCTGCTGGCTGGCGTTGGAAGAAGACATATTGGTTGGGTTGGTACGTATGTAATATATAAAATAAAGCTGCGAAGAGGATTTTGGTGCTATTTATTAAATGTAAAAGACATCTTTATATACTCTTTATTTTTTAACCAAAATGCTTGCGGCTCTTTTTCTTTTTCTCTCTCATAATGATGATATAGCAATGATTACAGTAATGTCAATGCTAGGTGAAACACCTGTCAGTAAATAATTCCCGTGGTTGGAAAGATTCTTCTTCATTAATAATTATGATGTAAGTTAAAATACTGCTTAGTTGACAAGGGGGTACCATTAAAAGAGCACCGGTGAAACAGACACGTACTCTTTACTTGTGAGCAATTAGATATTCTTTGGGCTTTATAAAGAGGTATATGTATATTTAGGATAATTAATGACCAAATAATTTATGTTTTTTTTAAATAAATTATCAATTACTCTCTAATACCAAAGGCAAAGAAAAACAGCCTTCTAATAATTAACAGTTAAAAAAAAGTAGTACTGTCTAAACACATTGGTAGAAAAGACATATTTATATTATTTGTGTTGTACTAATAATATTTTTGAGATAGTGAATATATATTTAGCTAATAGCATTATTTTCTTGTTTATGTATAAAACTTAAAGAAATAGATATAGATAATGAGGGCTATAGTCTGATACTCTTTTACTGACATCATCAAGATAAGCACTACTG